ATGCATGCATGCATGCATGCACGTAGGTAGGTAGGTAGGTAGGTAGGTAGGTAGGTAGGTAGGTAGGCAGGCAGGAACGCATGCATGTATGGATGCATGGATGTATGCATGTATGCATGCATGCATGCATGGATGGATGGATGGATGGATGGATGGATGGATGGATGTATGCATGACGCGTTTGCGTGCACAAAAATGGTCCCGAGCCAAGCATGCGCAACAGGACGGATCAATTCTCATCAGTCTTCGCTCGGCCATCCACCCCGACATGCCGGAGAAAAACGGGCCGCATGCTGAGTACTGCAGGAAAAGACTTGTCTTCCTGCAGTTGTACAGTTGCCTCCGAAGTTCATCGAACCCCTGCATCCTGCATCCGTCAGCACCAACGGACTTGGGAACTGTGGTGCATGGCTTGGTGTCGTCTCAGGAGTCATGATGAGACGTGCAGAGCCGAGGTACATTCGTGCCGAGTCGTTCACTTCCGGCTACGTCATGCGCCGATACGACGACGGGCACTGCTCTCAGGGAGCTAAATGAAGTGCATGTTCTTCGGGTTGAGCCTAATTAATTTTCACTGGAAGCATCGCCATCAGGAAGGAGAAGGGTACCAAAGTTTTTCTGATGACAATGACCGATGTGAAGGCCAGGTGCCAAGTTCTCCGCATTCTCCTTAGATTTTGCTGTCCACTCTTCACTCGGTGCCAGGGGATCATCCCGAAGTGGATGATCAACTTCGTCGCTCCTCGGAAGCCCGGAGAGTGGATTGACAGCCTGAAACGAGCTTCTGGGCAAAATTTGGCTGCCTTTGCCTCTTTGTCTCTTTTTGAGGGAGTACTTTGCGCATGATAGTTTTTTTGGGGGCCCAAATGCTGCTGCTGCTGCCGCTTAGGGCAGACCATCGGGAAACAAGGGCGCACTTTTAGTGGCTGTGATATGCTGTGATGCCTCATAGTTTTCCTATACACCAGGTCGTGCCCTTCGCATCCTTCGCCCGTCCAACTGAGGCGTGCCTCGACTATCAGAATGCCAATCCAGACTACCCAAAGCTTGAGAAGGAAATGGGGGTTAGCGGCAGTGATCGGCTCTTGCTGATGTGCGAAAAAAAAGTGACCACGAAGTTGCAGCTTCTGCTCGGAGAGGATCTGGAGCCCTTCAAGCACAACCATCCTTTTGACTACGAGGACTCCTTGTCTTGAAAGCATTCTAAGGGTGTTATTCCCTCATGGTGGGATCTCATGTGGGATTGCAGGACATGACCTTGGACACGTCCCTTGCTGGAGATCTTGCAACTCGGAAACAGTCCCCGGCGGTCCTGGCTCGCTTCAGAGAGCAGGGGCATTTCTTGATGCCGCTGGTGACGGCTGTTTTGGTAACTTCGAGGCTTTCAATCCCATGTAGGCACAGGCTTGCGCAAGTCCGCATGCTCTTGGCCAGACGTGGGTGACCCTCTGACAAGCAGTGACTGACATTCACCAGTCGGCTGGTGCAGGGGATTTTGCTGACGATCCCGTGATAGGATCCGTAGCATTTTTATTGGTGCGCATGGCTGTTTGACATGGTGTGAAGAAGAATGTCCAGCAAGGCAGCAGAGCTGCAACCCCGTAGTTTCACCCGGCATGTTGAAGACATGCTCCCGGACACCGAAATTGCTGGTGCTTTTGATTTGGAAATGTTTTCAGGAAGTGTACCCTGGGCATGCAAGACGGACATGCATTCAGTCGCAGCTCTTGCCGGCAGCACGATAGCCACCTAGGAGACATGCCTGCACACATGTAGGAAGCACCTACACGTTTCACAGCGACCATCTCCAAAACCCGCTGCTGGTTTGCACGATTTCCCCCCCTGAGCCACGTATCATGAAGCGGCCCATGCAGCAAGATCCTTGTCGTATTGTCAGATGGGGCATCTTGGAACAGAGCCTACGTACGGACTTTAGGCTGCCCGACGTCGGGTCGCATGTCCAGGGTTTGATAGCTGCGGGTTGCTGTGCGAAGCAGCCGCAAAATGCCAGTGGAGGCACTGGCCGTTTTGACAGGAGTTTTGATCCCACCAGTGGATATCGCTCATCATAGCCAATAAATCGTTTCTTGGACAGTGCAGGCACGCTCTGCAACGCATTGTGACTGTTATCTTCTGGGTGCTACTTATCCACAGTCGCCGAAAGGGACTTCAAGAATCGCAAGAGTGATAATCAAATGACCTCGCCAATGGGGTGCTCATTTTCTTACAGCTCCAGGTGTGCACTGTGCCTGCCCGGACATCTTGCAATTCCTTGTGTCTTTCATCTGCTCCCTTAGTAGGGAGGAGGTGACACAAACCTCGCTGTTTGGCTGAATCGAGATGAGCCGGATCTTGAAGCTGCTAGATGAGCTTGTGCTCTGCGTGAGATCCAACAGCCGATGGGCTAGATATCTGGGAGCTGGACGCCAGCGCTCAGAGCAGAGAGCAGAAAGGTGTGTGACGGTGTGTGTTTGTCAGCTGTCATTCTCTACTTGCAGGTCGCGGCCAAGATGTAGGGCATGTTAAGCATGGATTGCAGGCTCGCATGAAGCTTTCCTGATGCGGCCTCAGCCTTCAAAAGGACCCTCTGTCCCTCCCCGCGACACAAAGCGGTACAGAAGGCCTCGCTTTGTATCTGTATACTTCATGGGAAGGGTTCCAGGCATGACGGACGTGAGCCGATTTGCCTTGCGCTTGCCTTTCTCAGCCCATGCTCAGGCCATGGCTGAGGAGGAGGCGGGCAATTCCTACAGGTCCAAATATACCGTTTTATCCCATGCAGCCGCTCACGATTTGCATACACCTTCGAGGTCGCTCCAGGAGTTCCAGCCATGTAATTGTAGTCTGATGTAGTGGGTGCAGTGCCTGAACATGGCTGCTGTACAGACTGGGTGTTCCTGGATCCGTTTGGCAGGCGGCGGAGGTGCCGCCAGAGCCCGTGCCTCCTCTGACAGAAGCTTTCCTGCAATGAAGCTGCGAAAGAGTCGAGCTTGCTGGCCACTCTCTCAAGATTGAACTGACAATGTTGGAGGTTTCAAAGCGAAAGCTTCGGATAGTGCAGTTCCTGCTATAGAATCGCTCCCATAAAGTTGGTTTGGCCGTAGATGCTCGCATTTTCCTTTGGGCGAGACACGCACTTCTCATGATACGTCCTGGAGTTGGAATTGTTGCTGTCGACATGTTTCAGCATGAGCGCAATGAGACCCAGGAAGAGGAGCTGGAAGCACGTGCCGCAATCTTTGAAGAGCTCTTCAAGGATCATCCAGCTTTGGAGGCGAGCAGCTCTTCTTGTAAATGGTCATGACCAGTAGTCTGGCATCTTAGTTACCGTGCCAGGTCCGAGTAGTGTTCCATGGTGTCTGACCCTCCTGGGTGTCAGAACTTGTTCCGTTGTGTCTTTGAGCGTGGGAAGGTGAAGCAAAAGTCCATGGCCGAACGGAAGGAGAAGGAGGCCAGCTTGTGGCAGAAAGCAGTTGTGATGCCAAATCTGCGGCCATTCTCCCATGCCCTGCTCACGGGGCAGAAAGCGCATCCTTCAGGGGTACCAGGAGAGTGATGGCATACATACTCTGGATACTTACTCTAAAACACCCACTCTCGGTCGTAACATTGCTGTCTTCATAGTAGCAGCATGGCAAAGCAGGTCACCTGCACGCTGCTTACTGCCAGAATCTGCTAAATTCTCGCACAAGCTAAGACGAGACCTGAACACCATGGCCCGTGCCGTCGGTACCCGCTAGATTCTAGATGGGTAGTTCTCTAAATTAGGGCTCCAATTTTAGGTCCCCAATATAGTACGGCACCCTTATAAAAGGGACCCTAATTTAGACAACTACCTTCTTATAGTACCCCTCATAGATCCCTTTAAGGAACCCCTACAGAAACCCTACTAGGTCCCTTTAAGGATACTAAAAAAATGACCCTTACCCAGATGTCAGCTCCAGGCGCCTCCGCCTCGAGAGGAAGGCGAGGATGCGCCAGAGGTGGTCGAGGCCATTTGTACTTTCGCAAGCAGAAACGCTAGCATAGAATTCGCTATATCAAACTAGATAAGCAAATAAACAACTAACTAACTAAATAAAAAAGTAAATATTAAATAAATAACATACATATTTATATAAACAAACAAACAAACAAATACATAAATATATATATATATAGATATGTATGAGACTACATATATATATATATACACACACATACATACCTATACATACATGTATTTATAGGTTTCCACCCAGGTGCCTGAACCCAACATCGCCCTTGCCTATAGCGAGCTGAGCTTCTCTGTGGCTGCTTGGCTGAATACAGCATGGTGCAGTTTGCTGCCGGCTCTTACTCAACCTCTCGTCCCTCCTGCACCCTCATGACAAGAAGCTCCTTAACTGAGATGGATCGCTTCGTGAACCTCGTGAAGGAGATGCACTTCATGCATTGGGCATGCTCTGTTGGAACTTCACCCCTAAACCCTAAACCCTAGACAACGAGTCATCGCCGTGGTTTCGATGATGTTCGGTGCCGGCACTGCAGGAGAAATGCGGACCCCTTTTCCCGAATCGAGGCACTTCGACTCGGGCCTTCCTGCTTTGAGATATGGTTTAGTATAGCATGATATACTCTAGTATGTAATATGCCAGAATATTTTATAGCCACTTTAATATACCAATGTATACTGTAGTATACTATGATTTGCTTTAACATTTTATTATACCTCATACTGTACCATGTTACACTATATTATGGTGAGAATCCTCGCCATTTGTATCATAGTTGAACGAGCTGTGTTGACTTCCCCATCTCAGGAACCTTGCTTGCAGTGCTTTGTATAGACATGTGATGCACTAGCTTGTCAGACGTCCATGTCAAATGCACATTGCCGCAGACGTCTCCCCTTTTCCACGGTGTAACTCCGGAAGTCGACATTCGTTCGAAAATTATATCATACAATATAATCACAATACTCATAATAATATTAATATTAATATTATACATAATATTAATAATATTATTAGTATTAATAATATTGATGATTAATATGTTGCATCTTTTGCAATAACACGTGGCCACTCTGCAAACGGCTCGGCAAACCCGTGAACTTGGCTCAAGACTGGTGCTACATCCGTCGCAGGTGCCTGGTCGCTAGTGGGCCTGTCGTCTAGAAGACGAGACTCTGGTCACCATGGGCTGCTGAGGCCCCAAGAAAGGGAAGTACTCCAAGTATGTAAAGGAGCAGGCCAGGCAGCAGCGCCAGACACTGAATGCAGCCGCTCGCGCCCCGAGCGCGAGGCAATCTCGGTCCAAGACCTTGGAGGAAGATCACCGGCGCTCGACGAGCATGCCTTCAAAACGTGGCAAAGAGGAGCTTTCTTCAGTAAAGCCGCAGCATTCTGGTGGGAACCGCCAATTGCGAGAGCTATCTGCGAGACCCCGGCCACCGCCCTCGTCAGCTGTCTGTGTGGTGATGTAGTCGCAGTCTGTGTAGGGTCTGTCACGTTCAGAGCTGCATCTGCAGCTGCAAACACCTGCACAGACCACCGAGTAACGACCTCGGTGCTTTCTCCACCCACAGCACGCGAATGAGAGCATCGCCGAATGCGGCATTGCTTGACTGCCTGCAGGGAGGAGGTTTGTACAGAAATTGAATATCCATGGTGGTTCATGCCACCCCGAGTACAGATGGCACGTTGCAGAAGAGTGCAAGTGTAGATAGCTTGTTATGCTCACACGACTGAAAGGATGTCTCCCGGTCTTGAAGCGGCAGCGAGCATACCTTCAATTGCATGCAGCTCTGAATGACAGGTGTCTTTTTGGACTTGGGCAGTGGCGCCGGCAAGAATTGCTTGGCAGCTGCACTGCTCCATCCCTTCCAGAAGGCTCGGAAATGCCACAGATTTGCTTTGGGTGTCATGTGGGTTGTGACCTTGTGTTTAAAGATCACAACTGCTGCTCCTCAGCGCACTGTCACAACTTGCGCATTGTAATATAGGGTCCTTGATAATTCCTTATTGTATGTATATTACTAGAGTATATCCCTAAACCGTATTCTAATTATCAAGGCCCCGTAATTTTCACGAAGCGTGAGACAAAACCAGGCGAAGTTTTGTGGGCCAAGCTGTGTCAGTGGTTTCCGGCTCTTAATTACTAGTAAGTTACTAGTAGTGGTAGCAGAGTACATTCGCAAACCGCGAACAGTCGACTTCGAGTCGAAGGCTTCGGCTCGAACTGTTGGGTTCAGCAAAGCCTCTTGAGATCATCGGCGTCGAGACGCTTCAGAGCCTCAACGACGTCGAGGCTGCGGTGCAGGCAAAGTTTGCAGAGGCCCGAGCGCCAGAGCTGACCTGCATCGCATCACCGGGGAGAAAATGATCGACAGGTGGAACTGCCAGAAGGCATGACCAAGCCGGAGCTGAGCTTTGTGAAGGGCGCGCTCCGGAGCTTCTCTCCGACGAGACTGAGAGTCATGATTGTGGCCAGCCTAGGTGACTTCGTGGCAGAGTTCGACTCGGTCTTGGAGGCAATTGCCCCGGAGGCCCAGCACATGGTCAGGAGACCCTGACTGTGACTAGCCAGCCCCACCCCTACCCCGCAAAAAGGCCTTTAGAGCTGCCAAGCCTTAAGCTGATTATCGAATGACCAACGATTGCTGGCAGCATGTCCAGGTAACGTTTGCGGTTGTGGTTGCCACGACCTTCGGAGACCCGGAAATGCAAGCGGTGGCAAAGCTTGCTCAGAAGATGCCCGAAGGCGATTGCATGGAGTCTTGAAGCTTGATCTGTCATCTCGGAAGTACTGTAGCTGCAGCAGAGCGTGGCCAAACACCTCTCTGCGAATCATTTGCAGATCTCCTGGCGATAGGAATGTGAGCCACCGCGAGTGTTTCTACAGCCTGTCTTCTAATTCCGCATCTTGTTGGCAAGTCTTGCTGCCTGCTGATTTTAGCTTGATTCGTGCCCATGAGTAGCCGTTTCAGGCTGTTTCTGCCGTGCCGATGTGCGTGCCTGCGTTTCAATGACATGCGCAGTGGCAGGCGCCTGCCTCATGACAGTCACTCAGAAGCTGGAGGACGCGCTGGTCGTGGATGTAGGGGCCTTACTTCGCTGGTCGTCTCGCAACCTGCAGAAAGACAGGGGCTCATCGGGTTGTCCAGGTATGATGACAATATGATGACTGAAACTGGCAGGTGTAGCGCAACTATGATGGTTCGTGAGGAGACTTGCAGTGACAGGACCTCACCTACGCAAGCCTACATCCACGTCTGATCCAGCAAAAATGATGACACCAGCACGTCAGCGTTTAGCAGACCCGGGTCGCTTCGTAATATTTCTCCGAGGCAAACGCCCGATAAACCCTGCCCTCAACCCCTGAACTCCTAGACCCCTAAAGCCCGAAGCCCAAACCCCCGAAAATCCCTCAACCCCTAAAGCTCGAAGCCCAAAACCCCTCAACCCTAAACTCCTAAACCCGAAGCTCAACCCCGAAACCCCTAAATCCCGAAGCCCAAAACCCCTCAACCCTAAAGCCCTAAAGCCCGAAGCCCCTAAACCCTAAACCCCTAGAGCCCGAAGCCCCTAAGCTCCTCAACCCCTAAACCCGAAGCCCAAAGCTCAACCCTAAACCCCTAAAGCCCGAAGCCCTAAGCTCCTCAACCCCTAAACCCGAAGCCCTTAAACCCTTAAACCTCCTAAAACCCGAAGCCCAAAGCTCAACCCTAAACCCCTAAACCCCTAAACCCCTAAAACCCTCAACCCCTAAAGCCCGAAGCCCTCTCCTGAGCCTTAGGTGAACCGCGAGCCGCGGAAGCGTCGGGCCTTGGCCACCCGAAAGGCCCTGGCCCAAAGAGGAACGGAGCCGAAAGGCTGGGAAAAAGCCCCAAAAGTGGAGGTTTGGGTTTTTAGGGGGTTTAGGGTTTTAGGGTGGTTAGGGGTTAGGGTTTAAGGGGTTTTAGGGTTTTAGGTTTTTAGGGAATTAGGGTGGTTAGGGAATTAGGGGGTTTTAGGGCTTTAGGGTTGTAGGGTTGTAGGGGTTTAGGGTTTTAGGGTTTTAGGGGTTAGGGTTTAGGACTTAGGGTTTAGGTTTTTTGTATGTAGGGCTTCTCGGGCTTAAGGCTGGGCTTAGGGTTCCTGGTGAGTTCGAGGAGTTGCACCGATGCCAGAGTTAGCAGCCCTAAACCCTAAACCCTAAACAGGCATTGAGATTGAGCTCGAAGCTGCCGAGAACGATCCGAACGGATGGAGGCCGCTGCTTCCTCTGAGACCTCGAAATGGGACTTTCCGAAAATTACGGGTACCCTCATTTTAGGGTCCTCGTAAATCTTATAACAAGGATCCTACTATTTAGGGTACTATATTAGGGTCCCCTATTTTCGGAAACCCCCAAATCCTGTACCCCTAAAACCTAAAAGCCTAAAACCTCGACTCCCAAACCCTAAAAACCCTAAACCATCTAAACCCCTAATCTTAAACCCTCTACCCTACACAAAAAAGCCCTGGACCTAGCTGGGACTCGGAGAGGTTGAAGCATTCCGACTCCTTGGAGCTGGAATGGGGCACCACCTCATGCCCTCCGGCAGGTCAAGGGCTGCAAGGAATTAGGGCTCAGGGTTTAGGCTTTAGGGTTCAGGGTTTAGGCTTTAGGGTTTAGGGTTTAGGCTTTGGGGCTTCGGGTTTAGGGCCAACATCGAAGAAGGCATGGATCAATCAAGGCTAGACACCATCACGGCAGATTACAACAGCTTTGTACCGGGGGTTCGCGGCATGAGGATGCGCTCGGCTAGAACCTGCGCTAAGCAAGGCTATCTTTACAAGAAGTACACGTATCCGTTCTGCGATGCCGTTGCCTCAGCCTGCAGGGAAGTGTACACCCTATGGCAGAAGTACTTTGTCTTCTTGCTCGGTTGCTCACCTGCAAGGTCGGGGACATTTGCATGGCCACACCACTTCCGGAGATAGAGGACTGCTTGCAGTGCTTGAACTCATCACTCCGGTTAGTGGTTAAGATGGTTGCTATCAAATGGGGGGTTTCCCAGAATAGGGGAGCCTAATATAGTACCCTTAGTAGTAGGATAATTTTCGGAAAGTCCCAAACCTACTACAAGCCATGGATCTGTCATGTTGGGCCGGTTGTTCTCTGCTGTCATTCTCTCGACGCACAGGACCAGACGGTGGCTCCAGCTTACTTCCTTGGACCCGCAAAAGTCAGGACCGCTCCCAAGCCCGGCTGCTCTTGCATTCAAGCGGCTCAATCAACCCTAAACCCTGAACCCAAAACCCTAAAACCCCAAAACCCTAAACCCTAACCCTAAACCCCTAAACCTTGTAAACCCTAAACCCTACAGCCCTGAACCCTAAACCCTAATCCCACACATGGCTGCGCAGGTACATGGATGACTTGGCCGAGAAGGAAGTTGAAGTCAGCAAGGTCTCCCCCTTCTGCGAGGATGGGCTGCTAGTGACTGCTAGTGCCGACTTTTCTTTTATATGCCCACGACTGTTGCAGGAGAGCCGAAAGAAAGCAGTCAAGCTGTTCCTTCAGATGCTGGGCAGAATATCAGGTTTGGCATTGTGAGGAGAAATTGCAAATCGGATTGCTAGCTTGGTCCCTCAACCTCGTCCATCGCGCAGACACCAAGGAAGGTGGAGGCAGCGAAAGCCAAGGCTGAGAAGCTCACCGGGAAGGGCAGACACAATGGTAACGCGGATCTGTTCTTTGGGGGTAACCGCCCCGCGGGTGGGGATTTCCGTATCTCCACCGCAGGCTGCGCAAACCGATGACCTCGCGGCGCAGGCGCTGGCAACGGTGAGGCAGTCGGCAGAGCAACGTGGGCAAGTCTAGTTGAGTCTAGTTAAGTCTCGGTCTGGCACAAGCCTGGCCCGCATTCACTGGAACTGCTTCTGGGGGGAACGATCAATCACATTAGTCTAGGAAGTCTTTCGGGTGTTGCAGTTGCCATCAACCTGGCACACACACAGGATCACAGAGAAGCCACTTGCCAGGCAGGAGGTTGAGACCTTTGCGGCGGACGGAAAGCTGCCCTACAAGCTGGAAGAGGTGCACCCGAGTTAACTTGCAGGGGCTGGAGCCGCACGCTTATTGGGGGGCTTCAGTTGTTGCCAAGGGGCTGAACGGAGTGGCGGCGTGGTAACATGCAAGACAAAAAAGGCAAGCATCTCGAGCACATCCTTGACCCACGGATGCTTACAGCACTTTCCTTCTGTATGCATTGGTGGGTGATGCATTGAGGAGCCGATGTCAATGCTACAGAAGTCAGTGTAGTCTAATTTGCGATCACGTGCCTTCGCTGGGGGTCTCGCTTTAGACTGATCCCATGTGTAGCAATAGTAAGCAAGGGCCTGACCCCATCAAGATTAACTCGCAAACTTGGAAGCCTGAGACCTGAATCCTATGCATGACCTAGATTCTCTCAGCTTCCAACCCCTAAGAGCCAATGACTCTCTCAAGCATAGGCGCGCAACAGCAAACGCGCTGTTCCGCATCGATTTCTGTAGCAGTTAATTCCAAAGCCATTCGCGACGAATGCGGACTTCTTGCAAACACACTTTGCAGAGGATCTTGTTGATGCTACTGCCCAAGACATCTGACTCATCTGACCGACCCGCGCGAGGAGTCTCCTACGTTGGCATTGCTGTCACATCTGCTTCGCGACTGCACTAAGAAGCCGCCGCTGCAGCCCGCTGTGCACGCAGCCACATGGGACAGTCTTACTACTGTCCCGCGTGCCAGAGATTGTTACCCATATTCAGGACGTCTGCATACGGCCTGCCGGAAGACGAGAAGGCTGGGAGCTGGTCTTAAAAGCGTCGAGTCAGGGAGCACTGGATCACAAGGTCAACGCCTTTGCCGGAGAGCGCTGGATCGCAGCCTGTGAGGAACTCGATCCTGATGCGACAGGCCTCGCTGAACTGTGCACGTTCCTGTGCCAAAAGTGCAATCTCTCTCTCACAGATCCCCACCCAACGAATCATTACTCTCCGATGATTGCACACTTGAGCATGCACCCGCAGCTCCCCTATAAGGGGTGCAGGCCGAACGTGAAAGCCCAGAAGTCAAAGGGAGCCTGTGCCATTTTGTGTTTTTGTAGTGTCTGGCAGGCGCAATCGCCGAAGACCAGCTTGTGCCAGTGTGGCAGAAGGTCCCGTGGTCATCGACGGCAGTGGTGCTGGATAGATCAGATGCGTCATAAACCATGTCATGTGGAGGGGTAGCGCAGTTGCACTTGGCTCGCCATGTTAACATTGATTGTGACGTTCTCGTCACAGCCAGTCCTTGCTCAGAAAGCTGCCTTATATCCATTACACCGCTGACCAGGTGAAGGCTGCGTTTGTCAGCATGGCCGAAAGCAGGAGACTCAGGAAGTGCAAATCTCATCAGGCAAGCTGCTGGCCTGTTTGCCGGCTTGACATCCGTACAGATTTCGCCGCGCATTCTCCGTTAAAAGCAAAGAGGCGCAGGGGGTAACATGCTTACCGTCAAGCGCCGCCAAGGCAAGCTCGAGGAGCTTCGCGGCTGATCTTTGTCACGAGCCTCTCGACCCAGCAAGGAAGGATAGCCAGGTAGATTCCCGTAAAAGCACAGCCAGTCGCCACTCAGGTGAGAGATTACATATAATAATATAGTAATATAATAATATAATAATAGAATAATATAATAATATAATAATACTTTGGTGCATCTGGCCTAATCAGGCTAAGTTGCAGTGTCACCCCAGTCGCCGTCGACCGGCCGACAGGACCGAAGAGAAGTGCCCATCGCAAGTAAAGTAGCTTCGGGTCTGCATGAAACCGCTGCAAGACACCGCAAGTAGATGAAAAGATGAGGATCTTCGTGTGCCCAGAGTCATCTGCATGCTGCTTCTTCAAGCGTTGGATTTCCGCATTGAGCAAAGAGACGGTTTCACAATTTCATCGTGCAGAAAATGTATGCTTTGACACCGAAGGTTTCACGACATAGTCCGTGAGCTTGCAGTAAGCGACAGACATCTTGGGATAATCCGAATACTGATTGGCTGCAAGCCCAATGCAGGCTTGTGGGCAAAGCAAGCCTTGCTTGATAGTTTTGTTTCACCGCACTTCGCATGCTCCCGGGCAAGAAACCTTGAAAGCTGTCCTCTGCGCACCTGGATGATCCGGACATTGAGTAGCTTCTCCCTGCTGATTCACATGAACGATCTTGTCTTCGATATTCCAGCGCAGGGAGACGCCTTGGTCCAGCTGGGTTCACAACTTCAGAAGGCAGCAGGATTGCCGCAGGCCTGCTCGCCGACATCCGCTTACAAGAAGGTCCCAGTCGTTTTTGCTGGTCACACCTGTCTATCCACTGCGAGCATCGTGCGAGTGCCAACGGATTGCTGCGCAGCCCAGCCGCTTGTTCTTAGCTCGTTTTGGAGTGCATGATTTGACATGTTCCTGTGACACAGCTTAACCAAGTACAGTTGCTACAGGTCCGTCTTCAAACAGATGATTCTTGCACGCAGCCTTGTAGACTGCGAGGACCACAAGGCATCGGCGGCCTTGATGCCCTTGCTGGAGGTGCCCCATGTTTGCTGAAGACACGAGCGTGTGAAAAGCCGAGCTGTGGTCAAAAGCCTTAGCCATGTGGCACGTCGAACTGTTTCTTCCCTTCTTTCCTTACGTGCGAGCGACATTTCCAATTTCAACAGCTGGCACGTGTGCACCTGCATCCAGCCAGGTGCCTGTGAGAGCTAGTTCGGAGGTGACCGACTTGGTGACCCTAGGCAGCTCCGCGTGGACCTTACTACCGTAAAGGCATTCCAGTCTCGATCGAAAGCCGGAGCTGCGTAAGAGACACGAGACTGCCAAGGCTTTGGCATTGCAGCGTGATGGGACGTTGCCTTGCTTAACTGAAGCAAAGCCATAGGGTTTTGGCATGTTCAGATTTTCTGGATTCTGGGTGAATGGGGTTGCTACTGCTGAGAGATGTCTGTGCAAAGCATGCTTGAGGCTTAACTTGGATCAATAAAGTATGTATTTTGGGGGGAAAGAACGAGGTACCGGCCGGTCACCACATTGATTTAATGATTTAATGGAAGCGCTGCGAATCCTAGCATGATGCCAGCATCTGCAAGAGAATCGATGTGTGATGAAATCATACGTACTTCGCAGCCATGCACAGACGCTCCAATTTCGCTTCAACTCGCAGCCAGGCTTCTGATCCACGATCTTTCCGGGAGCTACGCAGAAACGCTTCTTGGCCGAAGAGCTCCAACCAAACATCTGCAAAGGTTGTGGGTGCCGTTGTCCTGCAAGCTGACAAGAACTCTAAAGCCCTCCTCGCATCTGGACAACATTTCTCATTGTCATGAGGTTTTGTCTTGATTTGTGCCCACACCTTGAACCAAGAACTCTAGTTGCTGAAGCTCTGAATTTGAGGGATGCCGGGCCTTCAATCTCGTCTTGTCTGGCTCCGGGTTGAGAGTTTCATTTCACATGCAGAGTAAACATCAGAAGCATCATCCCACGACCAGTTTTCCTTTGCAGGTTCCGGCTGCAACTACCCGCAGATCACGGTGCCAGGCGAGTCGGCAAGTTCACGCAGGAGACGACTTGCAGACGGCCGAAGACCATAGGCCCACTCGCATGAATCGCAGTTGCGTGTTAAGCCCCGCAGGTGGCTTGGCCTTTGCCCAGCTGGGGGGCGAGAGATGTTGCTGGTGGCCAGGGGAACGGCGAAGACGTAGAAATCATAACAAGAGAAACAAAGCAGAAAGCACCTGCTCACTTCTTGAGGTGGGCAGCGTGCATCATGGCAACGAGCTTGCGGTGTGGAGGAGATCGACTCAGTTTTCTCAGTTTTACAGCAGCAGTACATGGCTGTCCCCTCGCATAGCCCGCTGTCTCCACATGTCCTCGTTGCCGTAGCATGAACGCCGATGTCGTGCGAGGATGAGTCTGCCGCTTTGGATGTGAGCTGGTGATGCAAGGCTTCCAAGCCGCATTTGCTTATTGCTCTGCAGAAGAGCTACACTGCACCATACGCAAACATGATTATTGGCCACATCAAACGCTTGATGATGCTTCAGTTCAGCCGGAATACATGTGGCAGTTTAGTCACTCAACGTGAGACTGCTACATGTCACACATACTTGGACAGTGTCTTCGAAACATGTACATAGAAGGCAATGCTTCATAGCACGGCCACCGGGTTGAGTGTATCGTTTCGTTCGCGCGCAAGGGTACAAAAGCCGTGCAGAGAATAACTCAGCGAATGATGTCGCAGAGGATTCAGGCTGCGCAGTGAGGTAGGACAGCAATTGATCCTTCGCAGACGGCTCTAATTATATGCATTCGAGTCGAGTGGGCAGTTCATGACAGAAGAGGGGGCATGGAGGGCTTGAGCGTCGTGTAGGCGACGCGTCATGTGCATTTCTCGCTTTGCGCGAGTGCCGAGCGAGATGCAAGGCATCAGCTCCCAGCCAGGTTCCAGCCACCTACTCACTTTGATATCTTTGATACCTTTACAAAGACACTAGTCTGATTGTTCAGGCCCTGTAGTACACACGCACGCATAGTGGTGCGAACTGACATAGATATTGGCTTACGTTTTGTGCAGACGTGCCGTGCAGACTCGTCGTCACTCATCACGAGGCTACGAATCAGTGTGCAAAGTGTTGAAGCCGCTGATAGAGTAAAGCAACTTCTCAATGACCTGGAGTGTGCGGACGAGCAATAACAACAGAGGTTCCGAGCCTGAGGAAATCCAAGTTTAAATCTTGTGAACCAATTTGCTATAGTCTATGCCCAACACTCCAAAACCAAGGTGATGAAAGGAGTATTCAGCCATCACGATTCGGGCATGTCGGCGCAGCCTGCTTGGGGTCGTCAGCAGTCTGTGAAGAAGAGTCGCTGGAAGCAGGAAAGAGTCCGCTCCACTCGTGAAGAAGTGACCGAGAATGGCAGATTCCGACTTCGAAACACAGTCTCTGAACTGCAACTTCAGATAAGTTTTGAGGGCCCGCCCTCGACTGGCAAAGCTTTCTGAATGCCGGTTGCTATGCTCCTCTATCGTAGTCACTTGTCAAGCAATTGCATGCCCATGTTGAGCACAGAGACGTTTAGCGACAAATATTCAGCCTAACTCTTGCCTCGATGGATCGTTGACGCGTTGATCCAGAAGCGATGGCTCCTTCCCGAGGTCGTTTCATGGTGCATAGGGCAGAGCTGAAGCTGCGTAGTGGAGGGCACACAATCATCCGGAAGTGCAAGATCTGTTTCAGTCAACCAAGCGCAGCTTGAAGAACGCCGTTGCATGGCTCCCAGTAGCATTTTTGGATCCAGCAGTCCGCGCCAAGACACCGTTTCCGCGCCGGGGTCTGAGATATCATTGGGCACAGCGCATACAAGAGGACCTCATAAACTTTGCAGAACACCCAAAGGAGCGACTGTACTGGACCGTGCCCTGCAATCTCACAAATCTTTCAGACTCGCTCAACCACGCCTTTCTCGCAGATTTCGTGCTACCCGCTCTAGATACTAGACGCCCGAACCGTCTGCTCGAAAAACATTTCCAGTGAACGGTATGTGACGTTGTTGAACTCTTGTACCTTTGTTTGCGTGACTTGCATGGAAGTGGGCATGGGCCAATGCCGGGAGAACGCCTCCTTCTCTGCAGCTGCTCCGGTTCTTGCAACTCGCAGCTGCAGGTCCGACTGATGCTGAGCCGCTGCGCCCTCCCTGCTTTGAGCCCTCGGCTCGGCATCGAGATAGACGGATGATGGCGGATGTAAAATACCGAGTCCTGAACCTCCGCTGTAGCGCACCGAGGCCGACAGCAGCCACTGCTCCGACGGTTGGTGCCGAGCCTTTTCCAAACGCGACACTTTGCCCGGCCTGTGTGCCTGTCTGACCGTCAGACGAGGCAGGGGGAGGGCGACGAGATTATTCAGTCATCAGACTCAGTGACCCTGCTCAGCTGTGTTCCGCAGGGAGCTGAAGGTTCGGGGACAGTCTGTCCCCGTAAGCAAAGAGTACTGGGCCACTCGGCTAAATCAGGGAAGCGCGAAGAAGCGGCTCCAGAGCTGGGCCTGTTGCAGTCAAGGATTATGTAGCAGATGAGCAGTCAGTGAACGATGCAGAGGTCTACAGGAGCTGCCGGGAAGTGTTCTTGAAGCATGGTCAAAGTCGTTCTTGGGGCTTCTTCTTTCTTTTGCATGTCTGTACTGCAGGAATAACACCGAGAACTATGTTGGTACTGTCAAGTACCCCATTGGTGTCATCGGCCCCTTGAAGGCTTGGCTTAGACTTTGTCTCAGACTCCGTCAGTTAGAGGTCCGCATGACCAGAATCCAGTTTGGTAGAGCAGAGGGAATCTGGGCTGAACTCTTGATGGTAGCAGGCCAAGCTTATCCAAGCTTCATGGAAAATGCACAGGTAAACGGCGAGTATGCGACGAAGGAGTATGTGGTGCCCATGGCGACTCACGAAGGCCAGGGCGACTGTGTCAGGAGCTACCTCGGTGCATGCAGGGCTTGCGCATGGCTAGTTTGAGAGGTGCGCTACTTGCCTCCTACAGCCGAGGGGCCAAGGCAGGGTCTGAGCCACTTCTGGCGCTGAGTATTAAGGTCATTGTTTCAGGAACCTAGCTAGATCTGTTCGCGAAGCTGCGAACGCACCACTTCACATGTCGGAGCCCGGGTACCGGCGTTGGATTCTCTCTGGGGCTTTGGATCTTCCCGCCTTCGTGTTTTCGTCTCGCCCATGCATACGACCAATGTCCACATTACTCTGCACAGCTTGACGAACTACTGCGCGGCCTCGGTTTCAGCATGTGATTTCGCGGAGGGTCGACGCTGATGCATCACGAACATGCTTTCATGGAAAAATCGTGCTGAAGCCAGGTCAGCAAACATTCTAGGCTGTTTGCAGAGAGGCGGAATGAGTTTTTGCCATGCTTAGGTTTGTAGCTCAGAAACTGAGATGAGTGGATCCTGCTGCTGTGCTTGAAGCCACTCCAGCCTTGGATTTCCGTCCAGCTCCGGACATGTCTGTGCCAGAAGGGGCGGTAAGACTTTCGCCAAGTTGCTGACAGGCGATTACAGCTGGTGGCGGTGTGACCACCCGGATAAAGACTCGATGCATGCTGCGTGCACCAGCTGCTTGGCGGCGGGATGCTACAGCAGGATAAGCACGACTGGTGCTTTGCGACCTGATGTAGGATGCCATGCCAGTCGAACTGCACAGATCTACGAGAAATCTTTGCTTCAGGTCTCGTAGCGCTCGCGACACCTCTCCACAGAAGCCAGAGTATGGCTAATTGAACCAGCCCGCGCCCGTGCAATGCCTCATGTCAGGAATACGCTTCAGTCACAATGGCGAAGGCCATTTTGGCCCAAGCTGGTTGTGTCCCTACACACGCGTTTTCGAAAACCCTCGCCTTTGCTCGCCATGGCCGCACCAGCTACCCCCGCTGATGTTTGGACTGTTGTTGAGGAATTTGCGGCGGCAAGGGAGCTTCGGGAGATTGATGGTGCCGCGATCTTGGCACCCGTGGTGTGTATGCCAAGCTGGAGGAGATGCAACAGACCGTGGCCCGCCTCAGCCTGGGAGATGATGACAACAGGCGCACCAGGTGATTGAGTGGTCCAAGAGTGAGATCAGCTCCCCCCACATCTCCAACAACACTGAGACCGCCCTGGACGAGGAGCACTGCCGCCCGGGTCTGGGTGCGGAGGCCTCCAGCACGAAGGATGTCGACATGACCCTGCAAAATGGTGGGGAGCCCTTGGCCCGGAGCCGTGCCCTGGCTGGCTTCGTGTCGACAGGCGGCCCCGACCATGTGTACGACCGAGAAGGGAGCAGATGGTCTCCTCGTGGTGCAGGGCATGCCGAGGGGTTTCCCGGCCGTGGGCATCCACGTGCAATCCTGCAGTCCTATATCCGCACCATGTCCCAGGACGAGATGGTGGAGCTTCCCGCAGTTCCGCGGCAAGGAGCTTACCCGGGGCGGTGTGGAGCGAGTCCTTGAGACCTACCACATCGCGAAGAACGAGGCCCTGCTGAAGACACTCGCCGCCCTGGGAAGACGGGGCATTGGAGCCAGAAGTAGACCCAAAATCTGGAGACAAGCCTTCGGACAAGATGTGCCCACACTGCTTTAAGGCATGGGTACAGGGGGCAAAAATCTGCCCACAAAGCCCAGCGGGTGGGTGCGAGTCTCCAGGGCCTTGGAGGAAGGTCCGGGGTAGGGCCCTTCTTGAGCCAGGCTCCCCCATACATCCACATCTCACCCTGGTGCACCTGGAGGATGCGCTTGAAGCGGATGATCTTGCCCTCGACGCTGTCTGTCTCGAAATTCTCTCCCTCTGCCACACTTCGGACCCGATTATGGTAGAATTTCAGAACCAGCGTGGAGTTAAATTCGAATGTATGCCTTTTCTGCGTTGGGGTCGGGTGCCCGGCTGGAGGGCTTAGATTCGAATTTAATGCTTTACGGTGGCGAAGGCATAAATTCGAATTTAATTCCACATTGGATTTTGTCCCGGTATGGAGGGAGCATAACTTTCAAGTTAATCTCCCATGGGTTGGGAGGTCTTAAATTCGGATTTAAAGCCCCTTTCCAATGCAAGGGTTTTATTCGAATTTAATCCGGGAATGTCGGCTGCAGCTTAGATCCATATAAAAAGCTGCAAGGTGTCTTCGCCGTAGGGTTTAAATTCGAATTAAAATCTCAGGCTTTGGTCCTTGCAGGGTTTAAATTCGAATTTAAACCTTCCAGTGTTCCGCCTTAGCAGGGCTTATACTATTTGGATTCGACAAGGTTTAAGGTTTTGTCAGAACATTGAAACTTAGCGTATTTGTGTATGTATTTATGGATCTTCTTTGCACTTCTTTGTATGTATCCTTGTATCTATGTATGGATAGGTGTCTGTGCAGATATCCACGTTTTCCAGCTATTTTGAGTCGATATGGCTCTCGTTCCGGTAGGGGAAGACAGCCGCCCTCGAAAGGGCCGTCCAAAGGGCGACTGGCAGCAAATAACCGAAGTACAGCTTGAAAAAGCGACTACACTCCGCAGGGCTGGCCAAGGATGGCTTGCAAGCGAGAAGATCCTCTATAAAACATTGACGGCAAGCTCGAGTGACGGGGCTGCTGCCCTTTACTGCCCCTGCCTTTCCCTTGAATCCTAGACCCTTCAACCCCTAGACAGCCAGACCTTCCCTAGACAAATCTTCGTCGATTGCCTATGGCTGAAATTCGAGTTTAAACCCTAAACGAGAGAAGCGCATAAATTCGAATTTAAATCCTTCCCGTGGCGCTCGACTGGTGGCCGCTGCTTGGTTCAGAGGCTTAAATTCGAATTTAAGCCATCTGGATGCGATGTCTACGCCCTGCCCGGGAGAGGAATAAATTTGAATTTAATCCTTTTCTAAATCCGAACTCCTGCCTCATCCCTTCGGACCCCAGACCCTTCGGGGCCAAAGGCTTTTTTGGGTAGTCCAAGGTAATGCCAGGCAGCTCGGAGAGCAGCATGGCGGGGATCTTGTCCATGAGGGACCGCATGTCCAGGTAGAGCTTGCGGAAGCCTTGACATCGATTTCCCCCAGCTCACAGGGAGCGTGCTCTGGCACGAAGGCGTTGCTCCCCATGGCCTTGGTGAGCTCGTCCCCCCAAAACTGTGGTCTTGGGGGCCAGGATCTTGCTCCGGAGCGCACCCTCTTCCTGGAGTTTCTTGTTTGCCGCCTGGCCTTCTCGAGGCTGGCAGCCCATGAGCTGTCCCTCCCTGGACCCTCTACCCAGCTATTTTCTTGAGCAAGCTTCCAAACTTCTCCGTCTCCACGTGGTGCAACACTTGTGCCCCCAACGCATCTTGATCCGAGACGGATTAGACTCCGGCCTGCATCTCCAGGATGGCCGACACATTCTCATCCGCCCGCTTGCTGATTTCTGCCTCCGACCAGGCTTCCTTGGGTTCTGCACCTTCTTGGCGGCAATTTTGCAGGCCTCGGCCGCTTTGGGATGGAACACCCAGAACTCGTGGGCCTTAACGGGCCTTACAGGCCACCGGGCGAGATTCTGTTGACCACCGCTGCAAACCCGCTGGTAGATGGGTCTCTTGGCGATGGCTGCCTTTGGCCCCGGCGAAGAACCCTTCTACTGGGTCCGGCCGGTGCAGACCTGGACCTCCTTGCTGAAGGTGCACAGCCACAGCTACAGTCTCAGGAAACTCCTGCGGTGTGGAACGAGATGCCTCTTATGGTGGAGAGCCATAAGCGCGGAAGCAAGACGGCCTACAGTGAGATCCGCACCTCTCAAGGAGGCCGCAGGGAGGAGGCGATGAACTTGCTGAAGGCAGATGGGTTGGCCCGCCCTGCTTCCAATGAGGAAAGTCGGAATGGAGGTTTGTGTGCCGCGAGATGGTCACGGCCAAACACTTCTTCCCCAGAACGCAGCTCCCAGAGGCCCCGGTCCAGGACTCCAAAGAACATGTATGATTTTCCGAGCGAAGATGGCATGCAAGACGTCGGGCAAGCCTGGTGCTCTGATCCGCTCGTTTGCGGCACTGCTCCAGAATCCCCCCTTTGGGCGGAATCCTCGTGGTGGGGCTCGAGTGATGCGCGCGCCACCGATACAGAAGCATACGTCGGAGGCTGGTTGTCCATGGACCCCTGTCCGCACAAGTCCTCCATCTTCCGGTTCCACTTTGAGGAATGCCACCCGTGGGCGTTCGTCCAAGTTTCTCCGAAACGCCGCATCGCGGCCCTAGACATGCTTGGAACACTGGTCCTTACGGCTTTCCTCATTGAAAAAGAACGACCAGGCGTCCTCTCGGACAACTAGGGAAACGTTTGCTTCTTCTTCGACAGCAAATCGAGAAAGATGCCTTCGGCGGCCGTCCTGCTGGAGTGTATGCTCCTACTACACGGGGCTTCTCGACGGATCGCCATCTCCGTGTTCATCGCCTACTGAGAGGCTTTCACCTTCTTTCCTTAGTGCCTCACCTACGGCCGGAGTGGTGCGCGGTGAGGCCGAGAGTTCCCCAACTCGCTCGTTAAGATGCGGAATTTTCTCGCCAGGCACATCAGTGCCACACCGCTACTACCAGGGCTTCTCTCCGGACCGTCGTCTCAACGTCCGCCTGCTGAGAGGCCTTCACCTTCTTTCCTTACTGTTGGAATCCGGTTCCTTCTAGTTTTTGGTACTCCTTCACCTACGGCCCGGGTGTGCGGTGATGCCGAGAGTTCCCCCATTCACTCGTTACGATGCGGGACTTTAGGCACATCAGTGCCACACCGTTTTCTACTATTGACCTCTTGGAGGGGCCTGTTGCTTTGGGAGCCTTTGGCCCCGCCTCGCTCGGGGGACCGTCTCGGATTGCCACCTTCACACTTCCAGTCGCAGTGAAAAGAGGGAAGTGCAGGTGGTCACTCTCGGGTTCCGTTGTGCTCGTGTTTGCTGACATGGCTTTAAAGTTTCTAAAGCCCAAAAGCCCCAAAACCCTAAAACGATCAAGATCTTGAGCACTCAGGTTTTCATTTTCGAAAACATCGCAACGGCACATGACTTCTACAAGTGGGTCCACCTGGAGGAGAATCAGGAGCGGGTGCACGGGCAAGCGATTTTTGTATCGACTTATAGGGTTGAGAACACTAATGGTCAGCATCATCATTATCATCATGATCGTGAAAATAAAGTTAAAAGTTTCAGATTTATTTTGCTTGCTGGAAAAGACCCACGGGACAACACATGAAGCCTGAATTGCAGCTCCATCGAAGGGCAGCTGACTGCGTACTTATTTTGCCAGGCTGGCATCAAGGATTGCTTGCACAAGAATATCGGACACCTCACTGAGGAGCGAACTCGATTGAGGCCAGCCTTCAGAAACTATACATACCTTGTGTGTGGGAGATTCAGAACTACGGAGCTCCTGAACTCAAAATGCAGCCTCAAAGCCCCCAGCCATCTCAAACCCCCAAAGCCACCGTGGTTTGTGAATTATGCACTACAAATGTATAGTATAGGATCCCCCCTCCAACCCTAGTAAAACTATTTGCCGACCCGTTAGGGCGTGTGCAGGGTGTTCCAGACCGACCGGAAAGTGCACGTTTCTGTGGGCATCGACTCCCAGGATGCTGCTGGACAAAACAAGGTGCCATTTCAGGGTTTAGGGGTTTAGGTGTTTGGGGTGTAGGGTTTAGGCTCAATGAGTCAGGCGCTGACATGGTTTAGGATTTCATGGTTTGAGGTTACAGGGTTTTACGATTGACGGGTGTTGAAGAGTTTTGGCGCAGGTGACCTATGCCGGGGACTTGATGATGAAGTACTGCAAGGACCAGAGATGCTGCGTCGCTGTTTGGCCAGTTGATTGGAAAGGCAGCGAAAGGATTGTTTGGGTTGAGCAGAGTTCTATTCGCTAACGGATGCATCTGAATGTGGTGGCTTGATAAGGAGCAAAAGGCAGCTCTGACGACATGTGTTCCTTGTGAGGCACCTGCTTTACTGGAGCACTGGCTCTTTTAACAACTGCTCTTCAAACGGTAAGATCACGTTGTGGGTCTTGATACGACAGCCAGATGTTCTACAAAGGCAACTGAGCCTTGAACGGTAGTCTTCCCACCGGTCCGTCCTAACTTGATGTGGCTCAGATTTCTCGATCTTCTAGCAGTGCCCAGCTGCCGGGAGGAGCACTATCCCGGAGCGATCCCTGAGATGTACATTGAAGGCTCCTTGATTTCGACAACATCATGGGCATCAGTCGATTGGAGATGATTGGGGTTTGACGTTGGATTTGGTAGGGAGTGCTGCAAGCCTTTTTTGCTAGCCCCGGACCACGCGGCACGTTTCTGCACGGCGCCGACGTTTCTAATCAGCCGATCACTCCCCATGAGTGGTGAAATCTCCTTGCTCCGTTCGCCCAGGCGGCTTCAATGCGGGAAAGCCACTCGCTTTCCATTAATTGCATGCAGCAATGCAGCGCGCACTGTTGCCCAGAGTCGGAGACGGAGACGATATCACGTTGCAACCGCTGCAGGTAGGCAATTACAGAAGGGGCCAGGTTTTTTTTCCATCCCCGTAGGGTTTTTTTGGTTCATCAAAAAGCCTCCTGGGCCCGGTCAAGTATTTTTCTGACTGTCTTAAGGGTTCATGTGTTGCTTCCGCCCTAGGCGCCCCACTCCCCGCTCCGACAGGCGCGAAAAACCCCGTCAGCTGGAAAGTGAGCATGAGGAGCCTTTTCGGGGTGACAAAAGCCCCGCCTAAGGCAGTAGTAAAGCCACGGACCCAGCAGTCATTTTGCCGGATGCGAGAGCAATGCAGACTCCTTCTCTTGGGGATGAGGCGCGTCTCCGTCATGCACACGCTCCTTGGCAAGGGCCACTCTATTGTGGCGGATTGTATCATTCCAAAGGACAGGAGTGCACTGTAGGGCTGCACCTGCGCAGTGCTTGAAGTCACTTCGCTGAATGTCTTGCAGCATGTACCCATGCCAGTCCGATGCTGCAGAGATGCACTGGGTGCCATGATTTCTGCCCTGCAGGAAGTGTGCCAGTCAGTTCTGAGAACTACACCTTACAGGCATGAGTTGAGCTTGTGCTGGGCTGCATGATGAGACGGTTGCTCATGTTCTCTGACGCCAACCTCCAGCATTCCTGGTGCTCGTCGCTTGACACATTGACTGAGGACGAAGCTTGTCCTTGGCCACTAATATACTGATGTTGGGCTTGCTTCACCAAGTGGGGTCCCAATCGCAAAAACAAAAACGTTTCGGGCGGCGGGCTTCCGAACGACATTGTGTCTTTCCTTGTCATCTGACGACAAGAAGCCATCCTGGGGCAAGGGCATCCCCTGCTTCAACGACTGACCACTCTTGCCCCTGGCAGACTGGTCTTCACCCCCTTGCATGCGAGGACTGTTATTCTGCCACTAAGACTTCTGCACCATCACCACTTCTATTGCTGCCTCATGCGGCTTCTACACCACCGCTGCTTCTTTCTCTGCTCTGCACTTGTACTTCCTTCTGTGTCATTGCACAGCAGCAAATTCCTCAAGGCACTCCAGCCGGACCTTGCTGTGCAAATTATGAAGATGAATGCCATCCTTCCTTCCAAAACAGCTTCGCCGATGCAGTCTTGAGGTTAGACGGATGGCCGACTGGTGCCATGTTCGCAGATGTTGGCAGGTTGCAGCGCTTCCAGAAGATGCACAACAGGACGAACGAGTTCATGGGTGGCATCAGTTGAGCCTTGTCTTCACAAGCTGCGCCGCACCGGCTGCTGACACACCCTGATGCGGCTCCTTCGTCTTAATTCCCATTTGCGAGGCACAGCCCATGTGGCCAATGGCTTGGCAGCATTCTACATTGCCACTGGCAACGACCCGGCGTGCACGGTTGGCTGGATGCAAGTTCCAGAGCAAGGTAAGCTAAGTACGAATCAGTGGAATGATGCAACTGAGGCCGAGTCTCAAGCTGCCGTGACTCACTTTGACCTTGTCAACCCTTCCGGAGGCCCGTGACGGTGTGATATGACTCTCCAGTGGGGAGAAGAGAGGGTGTTTATGCCAAGCACTTGCGATTCAAAATGCAGGATCCACCAACCACCTCGACCAGGACTTGTACGCAAGCATTACGCTAAATTCCATCATTGCTACTTGGAGGCACTGAGCGCATGGAGGTTGAGCCAGGAAAGGCGAGAGTGTGTCCTTGGCTGAACCGGAGTCCCTTCAAGCGGCAACAGCTTGTCCCGTGAGTTCTGGCTGGGTTGCGAGGCACATTTCCGCTTGTAGAATCTCGAATCCCTCAACCCCCAGACTCTAGAGTGTCTTTTTGGGAAATGAATATACCTACAGCTCGGAAGGCCTGTTCATGCTGTTCCGCGGTCACCTGTTTGCTGTTTCTGTAGCACTCAGCTTGTTTCTATGCCTTCGCAGATACTATCAAAAACCGGACCAAGACTGAACCCTACCTGAAACCCTAAACCTAAAAATAAAAAGAACCTTAAGACGCGTGGCCAAACGAGATCTGGCATTTTGCAAGCTGAGGTCGCGAGCGTCGGAGGCGGTACCTCCCTGCCATCCTTCAAGGCAGCATCCACAGAATCTGCTAATCCATAACAGTAACAATGGTAGCTATAGTATTAAAATAGCAGTAATAACAATAACAGTAATAAACAATCATAAATAACACTAGTAACAATAAGGATGATGACAATGGTAAGAGTAGTAATTGGTCATGATCATAAGCATCAGAATAATCGTCATAAGCATAGTGGGAAATATAGTCAGAATAGCAACAGGGGTCATAGTCGTAGTAGTAGTAACAACAAAAGTGTAGGGACAGTAGTAATCAACCCAAGCAGCTCGAGAACGTATCTGGAAGCTACCGGAGTTCCAGGCCGCCCGATCCATGATGGGAGTGGAAAGCGCCAACGAGCTTGCAGAGATTTGTGCAGGTGGGGGGGGGGGGCAGGAATGTGGGGGAGTGGGCTGTCTAACATGGGCGTGGTCTTTTGTTCTGCTTTTGTTAAGTGCAGCACAGGCTTCAGATCCCACCGGAACTGGCCAGGTGTTGCCCTCTCCGGTGAGCTCAGCTTCTATGCCTCCATGGAGACAGGCAGTTTGGGAGATTAGCGCAAAGTCAAGCGCTGGGCCCTCCTTCTGCGTTGTATCCCTGCCTCAGGCTCGTTTGCTGACGCGCATTGGAACATGACGCACAAGTGATGAGGAAATGCCCTTGACCTGGATTTCACCATGAAGCCCCATGCAGATTTTCTTAAACATACACAATGCTCCCTAGACTTGACTAAGGAGTGCACACCCTTCAGGTCATAGATGCTGCGATTGCTCGGCTAGCCTCCTCGTTTTGGGTGGGCTTGTATGAGCAATTCAACAGGTAGGGGCAAGCAGCATCTTCTGTTTCATGCCTGACTATGCTGAAAGCACGAGCTTTCTGGCAGAAAGGGCACCATTTTGAATTCGTGGGTGCATATCGGCGAGATTTTACCACAATGGGCATGGCCTACGCAAAGGCAGTTGCACGATGCCGAGCTGCCCCCGGACGATTTCGAGCCTAGCGCAAGGGAGTGTGCTGGGTAGGTGTCGTATTTTGTGATCAGAAACTCGCTGCGGCTCTGTCATGACTTTGCCAAGACCCGAGATCCTTGTGAGGCGTGAGGGAGGCAGGGGCATGCAGCTGAAGTTTGTATAGACTACAGTCTCCACGTTTCCGTTCTGTCCTGCAAAGGAAAGTCGAGCTACGAATTTGACTCGGCTAGGCTTTGGAGGATCTGGCGTAACAGCCATCTAGTGACTAGCTAGTATATTGATTCACGGATCAGACGAGACTGCGCGAAGAGCTGGTGGACATGACAAAAGTGTGGTCGTGAGTCGTGACATGACATGTTGTTGAATCCGCTTGACTGACATGCTGCCTCATTGTCATTGCAAGCTGTCCCGCCTGGCACAAGCCAAATTACCGCCAAGAAGCATCCACTGCTCAACATCTGTCATGGAATGAGCACCGGCAGTGGAGACGCATCAAGTTCAATGCCTGAAGCTGTCCAGGGGCGCGGAACCCGTCTGCGCCCTGCACCTTGGAGTGGCGCAGCCGATCGGCGAAGGCACCAAATCGTGCCGTACCTCGAGTCGCGCTACGCTCTCAGCATCGCTCCAAGCCCCCCGTGCTTTCCTTTCTCTTCATGTCTCTCAAGTGCTAGTACACCCTGCATGCCCTCGGCACCTTTGCCTTTGGCTGCCACCGATTGCATTCACCATGACCGTTCCGATCTAGGGGCTCGCTGGTGAGGCTTTGCTTGCTGGGCGTGCCTCGATTCTTTGATGATACAGCACAGCTGCTGAGGCAAGCGTGCAGGAGAGCGCAAACACGCACTTCTGAACGCTCACTGCTCTCACGGCCAGGCGGAATCTTCTCGACCGCGTCGGGCGGTCTCCGCCTCGGTCTTGAGAGAGCCTGAGGGGTTGCAGCTCTCCTCGCAGCGATGCGGAGCTGCAGCGAGATACCCCGAAAAATCCATATACAACAGACATGAGGAGCCGGAAAGCTTTGGTTTTTCCCGAGGCCTGCCGACCTCTTCACCTTCGTGACTGCCTCGCGGCGACCCGCGGCACCAGATTGCCAGAGCCTCGCGCGAGAGGTCATTCCTCGCACCTTAGGTGCCATGTGCCTCGCCAGGCCCGCAGCCACATCGCCTGGTTGAAACGGTTCCGGGCGATGGCCGCTGCCCCGACATAGAAGTGCCGCTCCCTCCACTACCTCCACGCTTGGCGGCTTCGGCCATCAGGTCGGCTCAGCGAGGAGCTGCGACGTGTGGCGCCCTCCAGCGAGGAATCGACCGCTACGTCCCAACGTCACCGATGGGAAGGAGCGGAAGAAGTCCGAATGTCAGGAGGGCCAGGGCCAGAACTTCGAGCCTGGACGCTTTGCCGGCGACGGCGCGTCGCTGCCTGGACCCTTCTCACATCGCATGGGTCGATGCGCGGGCTGCCATGCCTTGACCTTTGTGATGATTGTGAGGCTGACGGCATCAGAATGGCAAGAGCTGGAGGTGCTTCTCCAGGACGCCGTCGCGGGGCAGGCGGGCAGCCTCCGACCTCCGCGAGAAGGGCTCTAGCTACACACGGCTTGTGTCTGATGCACACTGGTTTCATTGTCTGCGAGGTGGCCTGGGGCGACCGACCAATGGAGTTGCTGAGCAAGGCCCCTGCACTTCACCATACAAAACTCCTCTAGAACTCTTCCTTAATATAATATAATATAATATAATATAATATAATATAATATAATATAATATAATATAATATAATAATATACTAATAGAATATAACAACAAATATAAGAACCCCTAATTAGAGAACCCGCCCCAAAAGTAGCAGCCCTCGAATTCCAGCACCCGGCGGCGGCCTGGCGCCGGGCGGCGGCGCGGCCCGGGCCATGGCTCGGAGGTCTGGCGCAGAGGCCCCGGGGCCGCAGAGAAAGCTGGGCCTTTAAGGCTTTAAGGGTACAAAACTGGGGTCCCCCTTTAGGGGGCCTTTAGGGCCTTTAAGGGTACAAGGGTACTATACCGGGGTCCCCCTTTAGGGTGCTATAGGGCCTTTAAGGGTACCATACTGGGCTCCCCCTTAGTCTTTAGGGTGCTATAATGGGGCCTTTAACTTACCTTTGGTTAGTAGGGAATGGAGGAATGGGAACTATTATAAGTACCATAAAGCTTTAAGGGTACTATACCGGGGTCCCCCTTTAGGGTGCTATAGGGCCTTTAAGGGTACTATGCTGGGCTCCCCCTTATTTAACTTACCTTGGGTTAGTAGGGAATGGAGGAATGGGAACTATTATAAGTACCATTACTACCATTCTTCCATTCCCTACTAACCAAAGGTAGGTTAAGGGTACTATACCGGGGTCCCCTTTAGGGTGCTATAATAGGGCCCCCTTGTTAAGGGTACCAGAGGGGTAGCCCTTAAGGTGATAGGGTTTAGGGCGTAAGGCTTTGTTGGGCTTTGGGCATTTTTTTCGGGCTTGCGAGTTCATCAGATTTGTTGCAAGGCTTTTCAAAGGATAGGAGTGTATGGCATTAAGGTTTGGATTTCGGGCTGTACTGTTTCGGGAATTTGAATTCAGGGTTCAGGGGTTTGGCCTAAAAGGGTATAGGGTTGGATTGAGCGCAAGTTGGGCTTTTAGGACTGACTCCCTGATGGAACTAATCGAAGGCTTGGTCCGCTAGTCATTCATGTCTGTTCGTGTCGTTGCTTGCGGCAGCTGCAAAATGTATGTGGGTAGTTCTCTAAAGTAGGGTCCCTTTTAGGATCCTTTTGATAAGGGTGCCGTACTATATTGGGGACCTAAAAAGGGACCCTAATTTAGAGAATTACCCATGTGTTTGTGGTCCAGGCCTGATGTCGGCCATGACGACATCACAGGTTCTTCACCGACTGCACGGTCAGTACCTGAGCGTTCAGCCTCGCGCACAACCTTCTATGCAACTCTCATCTTCGTCAGCACACCAACGTTGACATTAATGCAGTTGACAGGCCTTTCTGGTTGGTAGCCTGTGCTCGTCATGTCTGAAGGACCTCGGACGATTCCAGGAAGGCGCGAAGCTCTGGCATCCGCTTCACGGACGGCAGCTCAGGCACCATCTCCGGAGTACTCGCAGATACTCGCAGCCTCTAAGATGTCTAACGTGCATGTTGAAGCTGAGCAGAGGACACCAGGTGCGGCCAAGCGCCGGACTGTCCCAGCTGCGTACCCTCCAGCCTGGGTCTCGGGTCTCGCGGAGGTTCTCGCCATGGAAGTAATTTGATGTGAAGCAGCCATACGTTGCGTTGCGGTGGTTCTTATCATGGTCTTGCTTGTTTCTCCGCAGATGCGCCTGCTCATGGCACAAGCATGCTCAGTCGTGCTTTGAATCTGGCGACCCGGCAGGTGGTGCGCGGATGCTGTCAAGTGGCATGAAAACAATTTTCTCAACTTTTCGTGCGCCTTCCACCGGACTAGCGCCAATGTTGCAGCGGAGATGGGGATGGTCAGCGAATGGAGATAGTTTTGGATTGAGCTGTGATCGTCACGATTGAGGGTGTGAGTTTTGAATGACGCAAGCCCTTCACGTGAGGTTGGAAGATGCGACGCAAGAGAGGGTCAAGATGTGAAAACACTTCAGTGCCAGCTGCCAGCTGCTGGCTTAGGTTTGTTTGATAATCTAACGTGCGTCTATATGACTAGCCGGCAAGCTGGCTGACTGACGGACGGGCCCTTGGACGGACGGTGGGCCGGACGGACCGACCGATTGCCTGACAGATCCCAGCTGATGAAGTCACGAACGAAAGTCGAACAAGCGAACGGACGAGGAAAGATTGGACTTATGTGCTTGCTTGCTCGCTTGCTTGCTTAACTTAACTAAGTGAATCAAGTGACAAGCCAATAAAACCGACCGACCAACCAACCAAAGAACTACCTAGCAAAGCAGCCAACTAAGTAAGTATCTCAGAATCTATCTGACTGGCTAACTAACTGGCTGCCTAACTTCAAGCTAATTACAAAAATAAGTAACTAAACGAGCCGAATCTAACTAACTAAGCCAGCCAAAGTGGGACTCTACTGAGACCTGGACATTGTCCAAAATGTAAAGAACCAGACAACCCTAAACCCCAAAGCCCTGAAGGCACTCCCCCTAAACCCCAAAGCCCTGAAGGTACTCCCACGTTCTTTTCGCCCGCTGGGACCTGCACTGGCTGATTCCTTTTCCTGGCCTCGAGCTGCTGCAGGCGTCTTCGGATTCAGGGCCTTCATGGTGATAACAACAGGAAATTAGCAGAATAACAACCTTAAGCTGGAAAGGAGACGCTTCGGTTTTAGGGTTTTGGGTCTCCAAACCCTGATAGTGAGCATGCGTATCAGGTAAGCACCGGCACTTGGCTGTCGTTCCTTGGCAGGAGATTGACTCGGAGGCCATATGGCTGCCGAAGGTGCGCACGGACAGTGATTATATTCACACAATGTAAATAATGAGCAATATGAAAAGCAACAGTAAAAGCCATAACAGTAGTCAGACTAGTACGCATCTTGTAACAAGTCCGGGTAAGTGCAGTTTGGCAACTTCTCCTTCGTGCTGGAATTACTGCAGCAAAGAGGCGCCAGGGCTTCGGATCAGCTGAATGCCCCGGCCTTGAGGTCCAGGGCGAGTTCTTTGCTAATGATCGCTTTGCAGTCGTACCAAGGCCAAGGCCCGCCGGAGTTGGGATGCGCAGAGGGAAGTTTGTGCGTTAAGACGCATGGAATGAGCGCATGTTCTCGCAAGCATAACCGCCTTGCCGTTTCCTTTGATCTTTGGGCTGTTACCTGTAACAACGGCTTGGGTTACTTGGGTTTGCTTCATGCGGCAGGCTTGCAGTGTACTTTGAAGGTTGGAAGCACGTGCCTCAGTCCAGCACAGATGCGCTGAGTTTTTCGAGATGCAGCTCCTTGCAGTTCTCGCACGAGCATGCAGCAGCATGCAGCCGTTGAGAAAGCTGAAGAGGCTGTTGGTCTCTGGTGACGCAGAGGATGCTTTGAAGAAGCACATGCCCCGAGAAGTGGACTCAGATTCTAATCTCTACACCCGCCACGGAGATTTCAGCCCGAAGTCTTCAGGTGGGCACTCCTTTTTTCCTGCAAGACCTCCTGGTCTACGAGGCCTGTGTAGTTGGAGCCAATAATCATAAAAATGATGATAGTAACAATAACAATTAATAATAAAAAATATGTAACAATATAATAGTAATGCTGGCCACCCCAAATCCGCCTCAGGGCTTCCTGCACCTGCGCCTGGTCTACGCTGGGGCGCGCTTGCTCTTCAGAGTGTTTAGCTGGTTTCGCAGCAGGAGTTGGATCAAAGTCACGTAGGCTCAAGTTGAGCTTATTGCCGTTCTGCGTGAGGAAAGGGACTGTGTCTCATCAATGTTGGGCGTTCTCCGGCCCAGATACTATGGCCCTTCCTCCACTCTTCTATGTGTACTGCCGTCCATCGTCGGATTCCAGGACGGCACACCTTTTTTTCAACTTCCCGGATCAGACTTAACTGGGACTTTCCGGAAATAAGGGGTACCCTTATTTTGGGGTCCTTATAATAAGGGTCCTACTATTTAGGGTACTCTATCAGGGTCCCCTATCTTGGGAAACCCCCAACTAGCTGCGGGTTAGGGCAAGTCGAGCTGGGCTTGTAAATGCCGGAGAGTCTCGTGCACGGATACTTAATTATTTGTTTGTGGATGTACTTATACAACTCATATGTACTATGTGTATATAACTAAATAAATAACAAAATAAATACGCATATCTATATCTATATATATATAATATTTAAAACACCCGATCATTTGTTTCTATTAATTTCCTTTAGGCTTTTTCTCTACCACGCGAACGAACAATGCATCTTCATAGGTTTGCATATATATATATATATTTATCTATTTATTTAGAGATACGGACGTATTGCACGGCTGTGCAAGGACGTTTCGGAGCCTGGGCTTCTTCGACTGCTCGCCTCTGGCAGCCTTGGCAGACGTGACGGTGCCTGCCTTTGCAACGCCACTGTAACACATATCGGTGATGTTGTTATGTTTGTAGGTTTCGCTATCATGCCATGTTTCTTTGCTATGCAATGCAGAAGATAGTATATTGGCAGTGTCTAACGGCACGAGAAGCCTTCGAACGGGTTTGTGTGTGCGCACATACAGACTGCTAGCTAGCCAGCTAGCCAGCCGGAAAGGTAGATAGATAGGCAGGCAGATGATAAGTAATTTTATCGCTAACGCGAAGCCGCCTCGGCAGCGGTATTGGGGCTTGGAGCGGGAGCGAAGCCGCGCCGCGCAGCCATTCCCCCACCCGCTCCCCCCGTCCCCCCCCCCTCCCCCCCCAAAAAGCAGCGAAATTGGAAGCCGACCGACACGCCCCCAAATCACGCCAGGGGGTAGGGGGTGGGTTACTACTCTACTATAACCACCCAAGCTCCTCGAACCCCCGGATCTAAACGCCTGGAACCTCCGGCCTCGGCGGATTAGACATTTGTTTGTATATGTTTGTATTGTATATATGTATATATACACACACACACACACACGCATGTATGTATACAAGGATTCTTCAAAGTGCATGTGTGAGTGTGTGTCATCGCTTGGCTTGGCGGGGACGGAAGGGAATGGCATGTCTTCAGCTGTTCGGAAACGTCTCGTTTGAGCTCGCCCGATGCCAAGTCAGTCCTTCCAGGCCTTGAACTCCCCGCCTGTAAGCCTAAGCAGGGAGATAGCGAAAGACTAAGCCCTAAACCCTTAAAGTCTAAACCCTGAACCCTCATAGACTGATAGATCCCCGTGGCGGAATGGTTGAATTTTGCACATGACGAGGCCAAGGGCGGCGGCGACGAAGCCTCTGAGGTTCCTTGATGAAAAAATTCGACATCTTCGACCTAACTCAAAGTGTGAGTGTCATGTCGCCTGAATGCATCGAATGTAAGGGGCCTGTAAAGTTGGAATAGGGTTTCTGTGGGGAACAGGATGGTACACCTGTACAGCTACTATAGTTCCTAACACAATGAAGACCCTTGCGAGGCAGTTGAAACCGCCCTTGGCGGTGCCAAGTACAGCAACGAGGTCACTTGGGCTCGCGCCCTACCAATACAGCATTCATTTTGGACAGGGCAGCACTGATGAACAGTCTGGAAGGTACATTTGCCCAATCCTCCCCAACTGCCCTGCCACATGAGCCCACAGTGAGCCTCGAGCTCCAGGTGATAAGCACGGACTCCGCGCTCAGAGGCTTGGAGCAAGGAGAGTCCAGGGTCGAAGAAGGCAAGCGGGAGTGCAGCTGCGTGTCGCGTTCCCATGGCAGCTGTTGGCTAGTGGGATCCTGGGACAGACTATGCCTGAAACGGGAGGTAGTTTATCACGCGTTGCCGTACACGATTTGTCGCATGAGCGTCTGCTGTGCAAGCCTTTGCACTCATTTTGCTGTCCACCCTGGTTCCCTTCTGCATAACGCATGCGTATTTGGCACAACTGCTTGAAGGGTCGGTGTATTTCAAGAAGCGACAGACAGTCCCATGGAGGGTCCGAGCAACTCATGCGGCTGCTACGACCTCGCTTGGATCGCCTTCGAGGCAATCCAGAGGACGCCAAGACCTGTGCAGAGACGCAGGATTCTCTCATAGTTCAGCTCGAGCATTTCAACCAGCAATCTTTCAAGCTTTGACTGAGGCAGTTTGCTTTCGGAACAAAGTTGAGAGCATGCTGAAGAAAGGCTCAGAGATGAGTGTACTCTGGTGCACTGCTAGGACCCGTCAGATCCGGTCACTTGGACAAAGGACACCGCCATGTCTGGCGGTAGGGGGCATTGCCTTCAGACACTCCTGAGCACGCGGGTTTGGGACTTCCTAACACGACGCCTACGGGATCTCAGCCGTTTTCAGTGGCTTGAGCCAGGACGATCTCTTCGGTGCAGTCTTCCTGTCCACGCAGATGGAGGCCTAAGTGCCTCGATCACGGAAGCGATTTTGGAAAAATTCGCAAGGCCGCGGAAAAATCCTGAAACCCGCGGTGTGTTCGCCTCGGGAGGTCAGCACAGCCTTGCAAAGGGGGCAATGCCAGAACCTGAATGACTGGAGGCCGCCGGCGCCCTGCCCTGACATCTTGGAGTTCGAGATTGCTGTAGCAATTAGTACAGTATTATATAATAATATATGGTTGCCATAGCTATAGTACAATACTATATAATTAGTGTAAGTGTATGCTATACTGATATACTACAAAGTAGTACCCAAACGGCCTAGGCCTAACGCTTCGCTTCTCTTGCACAGGAGGACGGGCTACGTTTGCAGCCGCTTCCTCACAGTGATTCTTGAGCTCGCTCCACGCAGGTCTGAATGCCTTGCTTCTGACCTGTGACGTCTTGCATTCTATGAGAGCTGTGCCATCTGCAGACACAGTCCTACGGCTCCGTGTTATCGCCATTTGCTCAAAAAGTTGCAGTGGGACAGAGAGGTTGCAGATCAAGAGCTGAGCTTCCGAGCTCGCATGGAGCATACGGTTCCATCGAAACATATCGAAGCCGAAGCTTAGCATATTGAAGTTGAATGCTGTGATCGTGCCACAGTAGTTGCGCCATGCGCTGTGGGAGCCAGTGGATCTGGCAGTAGTGTGGCTCGGCAGTTTGTTGAAGCATACAGCCATGAAGCCAAGCCGCAGTAATCAGTTGACTTGAGATTGGAGAGCGAAAGTTGATGTAGCCTTCTGGCAGGTGCCTCAGAAGAAGATCCCTTCGAAATGCATACTGTTAGGAGATCTGCAGTTGAAGGCATTGAAGAAAACCGGTTGAACGATAGTTCTTCGCCATAACCAGACGGTACACCTGAAACAAACACAGCTGTCTTGACGGGTGGTCATACACTCAGAAAAGATATGTTGCTCTGCCGGGGTCCATCAGGCCATGGACAGTCTTTGCCAACAGTGGTGCGAAGGTCAAGGATTGGATGAGGCACCTTCAACGAAAGGGGATCATGGAACTGTTTAGACGCTTGAAAAGACGTTTCAGCTTCGAACGTTTTTGAACGACTTACGACGATACTCTCCTGGGATGGGCCGAAGCAATGGTGCGTTTCAAAGTTTCTGTCCAGCCAAGTATGCCCGAGTGCGATCCCCTCTCTGGCCCCTGTCATGCAGTTGCATGAGACATCCGAAAGTCGCTGAATACTGATGCGAACGGGAGAGTAACGGGAATGAGCGTCCCGCAACGTACAGCAGGGCTCAATGAACATGCCGAGTCCGATGGTTCATTCGACAGCTTCACGCGATTGTCTTCGCTTCCTGATGCTTAAAGGCCTGCTTTCTGAAGCTGCTCGAACTGGACTATGATGCGTTGCTTGGCTGAGCATTTCGGCATGTTCAGTCGCCTGTACTGCACTGTCCGCGATTCGCGAAATGAAGCTCAAACTGAGGAGGCAGACAGTCATGCAGGGCTTCGAGCCCAAGCCTGACACAAAGAACCTCTCCGGACTTTTTGCCGCCAGTTTGCAAGGAAGCCTGATGAAGAGCAGTGTCACGAGCCCGATGCCGAGCTGCAGCTGAGATGGGCTACGTGCGCTCCATTCAGCAATCAGGGAGCACGGGCAAGGGCCCAAAGGGCCCAAAGGGCCCAATGCAGACGCAGTGGAAGGGCGCTCCCGGCAGCGCCAAGGGCCGAGGCAAAGGCCAGGAGGCCATGCCGGCCATGCCAAGCATCGCGGCTTGGCGCAAAAATAGACTGGAGAAACTGCGCTCTGCGAAGGTTTGGTCATGATGGGTTCTTCTGCCGCATAAGGCCCAAAATGCAGCAGCACAGCTGCAGGAAGAGGCCGTCAAGCGACTCGGATCGGCATAGGTGCTACAGCCATTACTTCTCTGTGTCGGGGACACAAAAAACTATTGAGTGATGGATGAACTTCTGATTGGTCTTATGGGTGACATTTCGAGGTCCCCTCCAGAGGCTGTGCAAGTTGGACATATTGAGACATCATGATGAGCTTGTCTTGCTTTGAAGTCTGGAGGCCCTCGAGCGAGGTCTGGAATCTAGAGGTCCCGTCTGTTGTGTTATGATTGGCTCCCATGGAGCCCTCACAATGTACATCCGACCTCATTGTCCACGCGAGCGGTGCCCAGGTTTGCCACTTCTTGGGGCCTGGATGACGAATGTGTCGGGGAGCTACTGGCACAACCCCCACAGGTCACCCACGCATCTGCACAGAGATCACAGGGTGCCTGCTGCCTGCAAGCCACCAGATGCGAGGAGCATGGTCCTGTAGCGAACTTGGCTCTATGCGTCATACCGCCAGTTTGGTAGCATGCAATGGAGCCAGCTGCTGTGGGCCTCTGCACTATCCCAGAAGGCCTCAGGGAAGCACTCGGTTTTCAGTAAATGTCGGAACATCGCATCCTCGTAGAAGCTCTCGGAGAGCTGCGGCCTCCTACAGAGGCCGCCAGCGACTGCAGCTTCCGGCGCGTGGATGCTTCGCTCGGAGGCTTCAACGAGGAAGTTCGCGCCCGACGGAGGCAACTCCAGACTTTTAGGCCTTAGATGTCCTACTGCGCTCCAGGTTATCGGGCCGGGGGTAAGTTTGGATATTTTGGATGCTGGTGAGCGGGGGGCCTTCTGAAGTGCATTGCTCGCCTGTGGCGACTTTCCAACAGATTCGAAGCCATTTATAAGGCTGAGCGTGGCCAACGCAAGCTGTGTTTTGAGCCCTGCTTTCATGGCACGTCCATGCGTCTGATAGCTGAAGATGCTCGGCTGTGTGCCCGTGCCAGAGCCTGACCACGCTCTGTCTGTTACATCTCTTCAGTCCCTACACAGGTTTCTGAGAGCTTGCTACCGTTTTGCCAGTCATACTGTGAAGCGCATGACCGCACAGGCCTCTGATCGTTCATTCCATTCCAGATGTTTCCTGGCCGCAGCAGAGGAAGAGTTCTGTTGGAGCGGCTTCTAAGCTTCTTTCATGAGAAACCACCTCCGTTTTCATGGGCTGTGGCTTGCCAGGTTTCCGGTGTGCTGGCGGATACGGATCAGGAGAGTTTCATGCGCTGCGTTGCTCGTCTTCCAATGCGGACTGCCTTGCTCACAGCCGTCAGGAGACCATGTTGAGAAGCTTCGGGCACATGCGCATGCAGCTGGAGACCGGCATTGACGAAAGTGCAGCCAATTTCCGTCTTACGAAGGACAGCTGCACCTGCAACGCATCAGATGTGCCAGCACAGCATCACAGGCACGGCTGCTTGAAGGAGTGGCGATCGCTAGAGCGCTATGTCCACCAGCCAACAGGCCGAGCCTGAGCTCTTCAGCTGGACGTTTCCTAGACCGAGTCTCTTGAAGGTGGACAGGAGCTTGCATTCGAGCACGGCTTCACCGGAAGCTTGAGTCGATCGGTGTGGAGCTCCAGATTTCCGGCGCTGCCTAGCTTGCTGAAGGAGGTCCTCGCATTTCCAATCCTTACCCTGGGTGTCAACGGCACAGGCACCAGTATCTCGGGAGCAGCCTAGCTGTTTTGAGTTAGTACATTGTGGACTGCATGTCACTATGTATCCTCAATATCGTATCCTAAACAAAATTCAAACACCTCAACAAAATCTCAGGTATGCACAAGCATGAGGAGACCTGGCTCCTCCTGCTAAGCGGGCGCAAAGCCTGGTGGATCAGTGAGAAGCCAAACGTCCCTGCGACGTTCGCGCGAAGGAATCCGTGTCAGCACATGGACTCAAGCACTCCCCCGGGGTATCAGTTCTGCATCCAGCAACCGGGGGAGGTGGTGTGCCTCGTCTCGTTTCAGCAATTCTTCATTTATACTGTTACTGCTACTGTTACTGTTATGATTATTATTATTGTTATTATTGTTATTATTACTACTATTCTTGTTATTGTTTCTAGTGGAGTTTCAGTTCACTCTGCATGTATCAGCGCGCACATTCAAGGTATTTCCCGGACGATGCCTTCCATGCCACCTGCAATATTGACAGCTTCGTGTGGGGCTTGGGGTCACAGGGCAGCAATGCAGACTGGCCCCCTCTTGTGACTTCACTGAACGAAGCCACATTCACCCAGAACATGAAGCGCATGCACGTGAGGCTGTTTTTTTGTTTTGCATCACCGTGCTCAGGTGATGGCTGCCAGCCTCGGGGATGCGCAGGCCGTGACGACCATGCTCAAGAGCGGAGAGGACACTCGGCAAGACGTCCTCACATGATCTTGAGCACTCATGCGAGCCTCTGCTTGCAAGGGGCGCCCGACACGAGCGTCCTTTGCAGCTGCTTTGCAGCGTTCCCTGGGGCTTCAGCAGCCGACAGCGCGGAGGCTGGCACCGTGAGCTTGAATCCTCGGCCAAAATGTCTGCCGCGAAATTGAGGCTCATGAAGTATGCAGCCAACTTTGTGGATGAATCCACAGGCCACGGCCCTTGAATGTTGAAAAGTGTCCTGACACCAGCTGCATGGTCTTTATGCTGTTGGCTTGCTGGATTGGGAGTGGCTGAAAGCTCCTCATTGCAGGTCATGCAGTGGGCTATTGTGCCTCAGTCGCACGAACCGTGTGGTATGATGCCTTGAAGAAATTCCGAGAGAAACTGAATGCCATGAGGTACCACGTCCCCAGTTCATGCGGCAGCCGAGAGCGGAGATGTGGCTAAGGTCTACTTGCCTGGACTTAAGTAGCCTTCTGTGCAACTACGGCGCCTCTTGGCGTCATCTCCTCGCCTTCGCCTAGGTGCAGAAGCTCCTCTCCCTGGGGTTCGCTGCTGAAGAAGCTTATTCTGAAACTGTTGGTGACTGGACTGCAGAGTCACTGGCACTGACAGCCAAGTATCCACACGACAATTGCAGGGCTAATTGCGGATGCTGGGGGGCTAATGCCGAAGCTTCTTTCGAAATTATTTGCTCATTCGGTGTCGTTCTGTGTCGTGGTTGACGTCTAGGTGGAAAGCAGTCCGGACATGTCGACACACGTCCTGGTTGAACAACACGCGTTTGCGCTGTATTTCACGCCCAAGTTAGCTTAGATGGGTTCCCTTCATGACATAATTCCCCGCTTCACGAAACATCTCGTGCTTCTCTTGACAAAATCGCATCACAACCCGTCGTTTCGATGTCGCTTGACCCGAGTCTTTCTGTTTTTTTTTGGTCGGCCTTTGTGTCAAGGATTCATCGCCCTGGAGATCGCTGCCTTCTTGGGTCACACGGAAGTGGTAGAGCTGCTGGCCCGGCAGAGGGGACCTTTGTTGCAGAACCACTCTGCTATGGTTCTGGGCAACGCATTGAGACATGCAGCTCAAAACGGTCACAGCGCAGCCCTGCACCTTCTTTCTAAGCTGGGAAACTCTGCAGCAATTTAGTCCTGTCGCAGCAACTTATTCTTTCTAGTTCAACCCCCCAGTTTGATTGGTTTTTTGGAGCAGCACAGGAGCAGAGCTCGTACTTGCAGATGCTGAGGGTCGTGTGGCACTACATTATGCGGCAGCAGGGGGACAGCGAAAAGCATTGAAGACCTTGCGCTCGCTGTACCTAAACCCCGCTGCACCAATCGAAGCAAGGGACCACGATGGGCTCACTCCCTTGCACGCTGCTTCCGAGCGTGGGCATTTACAGCTTGTACGCTTTCTTCTCGGCACACGTTCAGAGCTCACGGCAAGCCGAAAGATGGAGATGCCAGTGCATCTTGCAGCCCGTCAAGGTCACGCGTCGGTAGTGCAACTGCTGCTAAGCAAGGGAGCAGGTGTCTCACAGAAAAGCGAATTGGGAACCCCGCTTCATGCAGCGATTATGTCTGGGTGCCGAAATACGACCGAGCTGCTTCTGAAACGCAAGGCACCTGGGCACGAGCGAGACTCCAAAGGCAACCAGGCGTTGCATGTCGCCGCAAAGTACGGTGACATGACAATGGTGAAGATGTTGTTGAAATGGCGTGCCGACGTTTCTGCTCTTGGCGACGGAGGGCCTGCTTGGAAAATTGCACAGCGACAGGGCTTTGATGAAGTGGCTGAGCTCCTGCAGACGCCCGGTATGCTTGAGCTGTAACAGCCTCGATCGTCGCCGCATGGAGCCAGTTCTTTCAGTTCCAGGCTCGACCACCCGGGTCATCTGCACCCTGCACATTCACTTGGTGGGCGTGGGCTGTCCGTGCGCACTACCAGCACAAGGACTCCGCGCAAGCTCGCCATCCACTACTGGATAGATTCCCGTGTGGCAGCGTCATCGGCGGCTTCAATGTATAGTGCAAGATGGGATGAGACGCTGCCAGCCTGGAGCCCCTAAGCAGCGACCGCCTTCCAAGCAGTTCCAAGCTTGGGAGCATGCCTTAATTGGTTTGACCGTGAACTTCTGGCAAATCATTCGCGCATATTTTCCTTCACACTGCTGGATCGGCATGCGGCATGAAGCTCGGACGAAGAACGGATGAACCGGCGAACGCCAGGAGATCTGCGAGGGTGAGTAGTCATTACTCAGTAGTGGCTCTCACACTCACAAATGATGCGATGCTTCAGACAGTCAGAAGACAAAGAGTTCGACACAGCCGCCTTTGCACGTAATTCTGGGAACTTTCGTAGGTCGTCGCGGACGTAATGGCGAACTTCAGCCCACGTCCCGACACTCGCAACATGAGGACTGGTGCAAACAGAGAGTGCAATCATGTCTAGACAGGCGCAGCGTTCACACATGCTATGCCGTGCAGGAATCTCTTTTTCAGTTTCCTGAGATCTGTGGCAGACGGGGGTCGGAGCAACGTGGCCGAAGCAAGGACCAGCTGCACATGGTGAGTGCACTCGGACTGTTGCCTTGGAGCCTTTCTGAGGCACACCGGTCCACTCGGTGCAGAAGGGGGCGCCCACTATACAACTGCCGCCTGCCAATGATCTGGAAAACGATGCTCTGAGGCGACGGCGGGGCAAACGCATCTGTACGGCTCAGATGCAGCGGCACAAGGATCATTAACCACTACCAAGACGTAATGAATAGACACAAGACATTGCCTACTGGTAGCCCGGCTTCGACTGCTTGCACTTGGTCCTGCTGCACAGTTTCGTGGAGCACTTCGGCCTGGACGAAGAATGCTTCCGGAGCCTTGCCAATTGATCAATTCACGTTTGTGCGGCGCTTTTGTGTTCCGCTCTGTCCTAGAGTATACAGACTACTCTAGACTTCGAAGGGACAGGAACGTTTTCTACGGATAGTGCATCAGGCATGATTTTGATGTCTCGTAGCTTCAGGCAGCTGCTAGCACAGCCGCCAGACATTGTCCGGAGCTCGTGAAATGTCATAGGTTTGGTTTCTGGATCCAGTGCTTCACGCCTTCACAGTGCCTCGACGTTACGGTGGGAGAAGGTGGCTGAAAGGGCCGGGGTAGCCGTGACATGCCGTGACTGGCTGTGCACCGAGGCCCGCTCCGTCATGGCTGGATTTCAGCCGCGGCAAGATACGCAGAACCCGCAGGGCCTCTTCATTTCTTATTTGAGATCAGCTCTTTGGACCAAGAGATGCAGCAGCAGGTCCCGCCGAAACCCTAAACCCTAAGCCTCTATACCGTCTATACCGTCTATACCCTAAACCCTAAACCCACCGTGGGAGATGTTGGGAGATGGCCCAAGGTTGCAGCAGCCTCCAAGGGCTCCAAAGGCGGAGCCAAAGGCGGCGCCAAAGGAAGCGCCAAAGGCAGCGCACTAAGCGGGAGCCCGAGAAGGGCGAACTCCAGGGAGCAAGGGATCTTTACACTTACTGCACTTGCTAGCAAGATCTCTGACAGCAGGTCTTGAATGCCTCTTCCGAAGTCAGCTCGCACTTTTGAGTCTAAGGCAACTTTTGTGGCTCCAGCTGCCCAGATCTAGCTCGAAGATGTTCTCCTCTTTCGGGTGTTGGTGTTGCTAGGAAGGGCCAGGCTTAACCATAAGTTGCCAAACGCATCGTTGGCCAAGGTCCCATAGGAGCCTTCGGCTCTTGGCCCAGAAGCACTCAGCCCATCGCGGTCAGAGCTGCGCCCTACGACAGGCGAAGGGAAGACCTTGAGGGCGTCTGTTTCTTTGTCTGTGTCTCTGTGAGTTGTGTGCATGTAGATGTAGATATGGGTAGTTCTCTAACCGAGGGTTCCTCTTGAGGGTCCTGGTGTTTTAAGGGTGCCATACTATGGCGGGGAAATAACACGGGATGCTAATTTTGGAGGGCTACCCATATAAAATGCATATGGACATGATCGTTGCGCATGCAGATGCCTGCATCAGTGACCAAGCTGAGTAACTGCGTGCAGGCCTCCAGCACCTCAGGCACAAGGCGGGCAGCGAAATGTGTATCAACAGAGGTGCATTAACAAAAGTTCCGGACCTGGTTGCTGCGTATCCAAGAAGCATAGCCATGCTTGCCAGTGGTTTCAGGGCCATTTCTGGGTGTGGTTTCGTCTTCAGGGTCTAAGCTAGTGTAGTACACACCGAACTCCTCCAAACCCTGATCCTTTGGCCAAGCCCCTCACACAGCGGCCAAGACAGTCTTCAGAATCAATGCTCGACGCTACGGTTCCGCCGTTGTAGCTACAACGTTCCGGGGCTCGGGAGTGCGCAATAAAATCAGCCGTATGTAGTGTCGCAGAAGACGTCTATATCTAAAGCCGGATGTCGCACAGACGCGCGGATCGAACGCTCATTCGGATAAAGCATGTTTCGCCGCTCAGCTGACAGACAGCCCCCGGCAGTACCAGGCAAAGGCCCTCGCGGCGTGCCGAGGGCTTTCGTCACCTCAGTCTCAGAGGAGGAGCCCATGCTTCAGCTCGAGAGACTCGCGAGTTGAGTCCTTTGAATTGAAGCACACTAGCCTCATAATATAGATATAGACTGAGCAGATCCTTGGCGAAGGAAGTACAAATACTTGTCTGACGGGTCGAATTTGGATAGCCAGTGGGAACCAGGGAACCACAAGTGCAAGATAACCGACAAGAACCCATAGCTCTATATTGCTTGTGCCATAAGTTCGTATCTCTGATGTTGTCCTTGTTGGTGCTGGTTGCAGCTGGTGTTGACGTGCTTATGCGTGGCTGTTGTCACGGTGGTTAGTCTTAGTAGCATCGTGTCGTCGTCGTTGTTGTGGTTGACATTGGCGTTATCAGTGCTGCTTTGGTTATGCACGTTCTTCTTCTTCCTCTTGTGCTTGCCGTCGTCGTCGTTGTCGTCGTCGCGTGTTTTTGACGCGTTGTTTTGGGCCGTCAGGAGCTGTTGGACTTCGCACTGGCTTGGCAGCTTGATCAGGCAAGGCACGACGTCACAGAGCTGCACTCCAGAAGCAAAGAGAAGGCACAAAGGCAGAGCGATCAGCCACATCCTCAAAGCAAGAAAGCGAATAGAGACTGCAGATCTGATCTCCACAGGGCTGCCTGGACTTCCTCCAGACACAGGCCAGGGCAATGTTGCTCTAGTGAACCTCTTTGCGAACTGGGTCAGTAGTCTTCCAGACTGCTCGGAGTCATGACCTTCACTCCACTTCAGGATGCAGAGACCCAGCGCTTCGTGGTCAACAACTTCCAACCCAAAGAAGGCAGGGCCGCTCTTACCAAGTCCGTGACGGTACCTTTGGCCGTTGAGGTACTGCCAACGTCAGTGGCTCCTTGGATGCACTGAACTAGTTCAGGTGCAGCTCGAACCCTGCGTACCTCCATTCCAGTCACGTTCCGATCTGTTTTTTTCGGTGGCGAGGTCTTTTCATGAGCTATGTGAACTCCTTGGTAAGGGCTGGCAAGGGCGGCAAGGGTATGAGATGAGAAAGCGTGTGGAGAAAAGCAAAAACACAAAAATCGTCGAAGCGTTGCAGCTTTTTTCAGCACCATCTATACACGCAGATTGTTGATGAACAGCGATGCCACAGGTCTTGGTACGTGACCAGGCAGTAGGCTAGCAGGCTCCAAAGACCTACGCCGGCCAGGCATGAATTCTACAGAGATGCCAAGCCCCTAGACGAGCTCGCTTTCTTGCTCCGCCGTGTCCGAATGAGTCTCGAACCAGGCACCTCCACTGTACACAGTCTGCCAGTGTGGGGTCAGGCCCAGGGTAGGGAGAAAGTCGGAGGGCGACAGGCAAGGGATTTCTGCTCAACGTGGATAACTCCGTTGTAGCTCCGGTGATTGTGGGCAGCACCGTCGTGACCATCAACGAGTCAGCTTGATATACGAAGGCATAAATGGGTATGCATCGGGAGGCCACAACTTACGAACTTTTATGCGAGAATACAGGTGGTGGCAAGCAATAGACACGAGATCCGATGCAAAGGCCGCTAATGTGGCCCGCGCAGCGGTGCTCGCTGCGCCGTTGTTTCTAGAGCCACGGGCCGAGTTTGTGAGGGGAGCTTCGCCTGCCTGGTGCCGCTACTTGTAGCTGAAACCGTGGCATGACATGGCATGACCCAACTGGAAGGCACTGGATCCGCCTCGCCATTGTCGCAGACTTAAGCTTCTGTTCTTCTTGATCCATCTGCTGCTCCTGGAAGTGGCGCTTTGCATACGAGAGCGTGAGTGCGGATGGTGGGTGATGAGTCGGTGATACATAGACCTGCGACCTACCAGCCGCATGCCAAGCAGCACTCCAAGCCTTGAACGTTACAGAAAGAATATATATATATATGTATATGCTATATCTATATATATATATGCTATCTATCTATATATATATATGCTATATCTATCTATATATATATATATATGCTATATGCTATATGTTATATGCTATATGCTATATGCTATATGCTATATGCTATATCTATATCTATATCTATATCTATATCTATATCTATATCTATATCTATATCTATATCTATATATCTATATCTATATCTATATATATATATATATATATTCCGCCTCCTCAAGGGGCCCCATCCCCTTGGAGGGGCAAGGTGCAACCGGCAGGGAGAAGTGTGCGATGATTCCAGGTGTGAGCAACTCATGCTTCACTAGGACGATTATGATTAGGGCTCAACGAAGAGCCCATGTGCCACTTAATCTCCGTCGTTGAACCAGCGCTGCGTTCGTAATCCTTGAGGGTCTGTTCTCAGGTACTCTCACATCCCGCACTTGAAATGTCCTAAGCTCGGCTGCTTGGTCCTTTGACATCTGAAGAATTTGATGGAATTTGCTGCTGCCTTAGGCCTCGGGAAGCTGGGATGCTTGTCAGACAGGCAGCGGATGAGAGCGGCAGTGCAAGCAGTAGCCAGAGTTGGCATGCCACTGGCACAGCTCAAGCGACAGGCAATGCTCCTGAACGACACGCACTACTGCTTGCGAGGCTCTGCTCGTGCAAGAAGAGCTCGGGCTCAAGATGTTGTCTGCCTGCAGTGAAAGAGGCCTGGAGCGAATGCTGTTGCCGAGCATCCGCGAAGCAGGCAGGCAACGCCGAAAAGCTCTTTTTCTGACACTGCGCTTTTTCTTCCTAGCACCGGAGTGGGCTGACGGCAACCAGGCACCTGGCGGCCTCCGGAGACCAACCTCCTGGAGCGAGCCCTTGGAGGGGCCAATGCCACAAGGCGAGGCGAGGGGGTCTCTGAATGCGTCTATCGCGGCAGCCGCAAGGGACTGGAATAGGGATTAGCGGATGTGTCGGCAGCGATGGTCGAACCACCACATTGCTTGATATGAGCAGCAGGCGGGCAACTTCAACCAGCAGAGAGGCTCGCTTCGCCCCAGCCGGGATCAGCCGGGAAAGCAGCTGAACCTGCCATCTCAGTCTCGGCGGAGGCTGTCCTCTGGGGGCGCATGATGCGACGCGCGCAGCGGCGCTGTGGCTCCCCTGAGGCTTGTCCGAGACAGACCGAGAGTTCCTGAGTAAGGGCGCGAGCTCCCGTATAGCTGCCGGGGTGGAGTTGAGACTCAGTATTCCCGTGGCTCTGCATCTGCATGAGGCTCCCTGAGATTTTGGAGGGCAATCACCCGATTTCCACCAAGGCAGCGGCCAGCAAAGAAGGCTTCAAGTCATGGATGCTCTACGAGGCGCTTCTTCGCAGAAGAGGCCCGTTCAGGGAAGGATGCACCTACTGAGTCAGCTCCGGAGGCGAGACTTTCCATGGAAAAAATCCTTCCTAGGTCCCTACTTATGGCTCTCTTAAAAAGGGACCTTATTGAGAGGGTCTATATCCCCAAGGGTTCCCCTAATCCTAACTCCTAAAGAAAGGGAGTAAGCTGAGGCTCCTCCGGAGCTTTCCTGCTGCTTGAAGCTATGGGCAGTTTTCTAAGTTAGGGTCCCCAATATAGTACGGCACCCTTATAAAAAAGGACCTTAAAAGGGACCCTAATCTCTAAAAAGCTACCCCTACCCCTAGTGCCAGTTGGCAGCAGGCTGGCTCATAGCGGCGCTCGGTGTCTGCCTGCATCTAGAGGCATCCTGCAAGCCCCCTGGTGCGATGCATGGGTCTTGCTTTCGGAGCTGTTCGGAGACTTGTTGGCTTTGGGAACTATACTACACTATTCTATATTATACTGTATGATACCACACTATACTATACGATGCCAGACTATACTGTACTGTACGATGCGATACTCTACTATACTCTACGATACGATACTGAATTAAACGATACTATACTATACTATACTACTCTACTACATTATACTATACTCTACTATTCTAATACTATACTATACTGTAACATACGATCCTCTACTCTATACCCTAAACCCTAAACCCCCTAAACTACTATATACTCTACTATTCTAATACTATACTATACTATACTGTAATTCACGATCCTCTACTCTATACTCTACGATGCCACAGTGGGAGCCGTGAGGAGCTGTACTTGGCCGACGGCCGGCCTGAGGCGCTGCGCGCGCTGGGCGAGGCATGGCACGAAAAGAGACCTCCTCCCTGGTCTTCCTGAGTTTAGGGTTTATAGGGTTTCCTCCTGTTTAGGGTTTCTAGGGTTTGTAGGGCTTGTAGGGTTTATAGGGTTTATAGGGTTTATAGGGCTTATGGGGTTTATAGGGTTTATAGGGTTTATGGGGTTTAGGGCGTAGCATCGCCTGCAAGAAGGTTGATGCAAACTCTCGCTGCAAAACTCGCGCAGCAAAACCTCGCACCCGGCCCTTGTTGCTCATGCTGTAGTATCGCTGGGAGGCCGCGCGACAGGTCCGCAAGTGTGCCGCTCCAAGATTGTGCGGGGCCGTTTTGTGCCCCATCTCACAGTGCAGTAGTGGTCCTTTTTAATGAGCCCCCGAAAAATCTATTGCAGAGCAATGTCCAGGCCGGGATCCCCTGTCGGTGCCTCAGAGTGCAACCAGAGCTCCCAGCAAGGGCTGACGGCGGCGATCACAGTTCTCTTGTTGAGCTGGATGCGGCTTAGAAAAGTCTGCACAACACTTGTGGTCCACTGCATACTGAGCCCAGGGAAAGCCTGCTCTTTCATTCCCATGCTGGCCACAAACTTAGCCAATGCAGAGCGCAGCAGAGGCTATCAAAGCGTGTGCAGAGAGCACCAAAGCGTTATCACTCTGTGCACATATATATATAGATATAGATATAGATATAGATATAGATATAGATATAGATATAGATATAGATATAGATATAGATATAGATAGATAGATAGATAGATATGCACTATGCGATGCGACACTATACTACATTATATTAAACTTCACTATATCATAGTATGTTATACTATATTATATATATATATATATGACCCCCTGGTGTGAGCTCCGAAGGCTTCTGGGGTGCCGACTTGTATGCCGCGGACTTCGAGCACAAAGCGCCTTCCGCGCTCGGAGCTCGGATTCCGCACTTTCCTGAAGCTACATTGTCTTATATTATATTCTCTTATCGTATATTCTATTCTATTCTATTGTATTATAGTATCTTAATACTAGATAGTCGTATTATGCTATATAGTATTATATCAAAGATTTAGTATGTTCTATTATTTCATTATGTATTATACGGTACTGTCATACTACATTATGTTATTCTACGTAATCTTTTTTGGTGGGTTTTCGAAGTCGTTGGAGATGCCAAGCCAAGGAGGGAGCTCCTGTCGGAGGATTGGCTCAGGGAGCAGGAGGTGGGGGCTCCGTCGCATCGCGGCTCCGTTGCGTGGTTGTTAAGGGGTCTAGGGGTTTAGGGTTTAGGGTTTTTGGGCCGTTTTAGAATTAGTGAGGTGCAGCGCCTCCTGAAAACTAGGCAAGGCGAAGGTGCCAAGAGATGACCCTTTGCAGAAGACGAAAATGTGGAGCAAGAAGAAAGAGCGGCTGGAAAGAGCCCGATGCCTTCTCGGCTTTGATTTTGGGCGTCCTGGCAGCTGGGATATTGTCTTGCAAAGCTGCCCTGGCCGGGCCCCAGCCTTGTCCAAAGCACACGCCGGACCAGGCTGCAACCTACGAGGGCGGGCGGGACCTGGTCGCGGGGAACCTCGAGCAGCATTCAGCCCATGCCGGTTATTGAGACCAGGCACTAACAGTCCAGATGCTTAAGACTAGTAGTTCTCTCCAAGAGCAGGAGCCGCAACCGACGTGAAGTCAGTGCTCGACAACTGCCAGTTGAATCTGTCTGGTGTGCTGAGAAGCCCAGGCACATGCAGACGTTGGCATTCAGCGGGGTCCTCAAGCAACTGGAAAAACATCGTGGGATGCACTCGTCTGGCACTGTACATGGAGTTCGCAAGGCTACTCTTCTGTGTACCGGACGATGGTCGTGTCAGGAACCGCGATGGCAGCAAAAAGGGTGCTGCCAACTTCTGTGACGAGACTGTCACTGTCAAAGAATAAAGGAATCGAGGTAAGGCGTTTCCAGTGACCATGCTGCTGAGGGGAAGAAGAGTAACATGTCTTTGGCATCAAGTGGTCAGATCTACAAGCATCTAATCTAAATTACAGGGTGCACAGGTGAAAGGACTGGTTTTGCGGCTTGGCGGTTGAAGAAACATGGTTTTCGGCGGGGTTGGGTAAGTGGATCAAGTGGAAAGTAAGTCTTCAACGATATGGCAACTCTTTCACTTGTTGTTTGACAAACTTAAACAAAGGGATGCCCGGCTGCTGTCTTCGCAACTTTGCACCTTACGCGAGTGACTGCTGCCAGTGCTTTGTACTGTACCCAGCAGATCTCGATTGGAACTTCATCGTGCGACTTGCAGCGTTTGCACGTAATTCACCGGAGAGCACAATGGGCGTGATTATGAAGCCTTTGGAACGGTTGCGTGCTAAATCATGGTGTTTACCAGATTGAGCAGTGCCGAATTTGCAATTTCCCGCTCACCAGCACACCTCCATATGCAGCTACATTATGAGGACTTGATTCCACTACAGCAGAGAACGTGGCTCGCAGAGCATCCGAGCATACCTTCAATCGGCCATGGGAGCGCCTTGAAGAGTGCTCTCGATGCTCTCAAAGGCGAGCCTGAGATGGAATGGATCCAACATGACTGGCCGTCATCAGGATTTGTCATGGCAGACCTTGCTGCACTGTTGTACTGGCAGTCGGCACTAGCTGATGTGGGCTGCGATGCTTGTTTCGCAGCTGACATGAACAACGCAACAGGCCACAGCATGCTGCTGAGCGCTTGCCATTGGGGAAGGCAGCTCCGGTCAAGGCGCGATGCACTGACCGCTCCGATCATCCGAGACAGGGTCGGGTCAGGTCTAGGCTCTCAACGGCACGGCTGTGCGAGTTATATATATATATATTTATATTTATATTTATTTATTTGTTTATTTATTTATGTATTTTTTATTATTACTGGACAACAAAAGCAGAGTAGATAATTGTATCTCATGCCAAGGTGTTTCTGATGGTCACAAACGCTGAGCGGAATCGCGCAGAGATCGCTTCTTTGCGGCTGGCTGCCCGGAGTTTCACCTGGCGACATGTCATCAGATGCAGTTTCTACGAGGCATGAGATCTCCTCGTTGCTGCAGACCAATGGCCAGTTGCACCAGCATCTGGGACAACTGAACAGCCTCTTGGCCAAAGAGTGTCGCCAGCTTCTCACTGCAAGCTGCGCTGCCTGACAGAGTCCGAAGGTTTTCTGCCCGATTCATCCGTCGCAGCAAACTCGCAAGGAGGCCCGGCCCTCTTGTGTTTGACCGGTCAAGATGAGACATCTTGACAACCTGCATTTTGGATCATTTGGGCAGGTGCATCTGCTGAGGCCGAGCGAGAGCACTTCAGCGATAATGTGTTCAGCTGCTTCCGTTGACCTTGACGTGCACGCAAACTGCAGCCATTGCCGCTGCTCAAAAATATCCTTTTTCATTTACAGAATCTGAGCTCGGGGCACCTGGCGTGCCTTTGTTGGCTTTGCATGGGCCACACTCGTTGCAGGAAGACTGCAGGTCGGAGATGGGTCATGGTGACGCAGCAGGACTTCAAGCAGCACTGCATGGACCGAGCCCGCGTCGGCCATTCCTCAGCTGCAAAGACCTACCTGCACCCTGAGACCTGGACCGCTTTCTGGAATCAGGGCCTGAAGCGATCACTGGAAGTCTTGGGCTTCGCATCCCTGACTGTGCAAAGCCAGAGAATCTTGTCACCCCTGGGTTGGCAAAACCAAACTGTGGTTTGTGCCAGTTGGCTGGAGGAGCTTCGACGTGCTTCTAGCAAACATGAGCTTCGTAGCAATGTGATATGGAGTTGTGACACCGTTTGACCATGCTCCTGAAACACAGGACTCACGTGACACCGGGCAGAAGGACGAGAGCTGAAGACACGCGCCCCCCAACGGAATGAAGACCTTGTTTGCTGTTCCAGTCGCCAACTGATCGGCAAACATGTTGCAAAGGAATTTCTGAGGAACAACATTCTAGTATTAGGCGGTGAGATTGCATGTATCGCCTCAAGCACCGCCGCAGAGAATTGGCTGTCTTTCGCAGACCGCCTTCGTTGAACACCACAATGCTTTGTCGTAGCTCCGCTACTGGGACGTGCGTCTTGGGCCCTGCAAATCAGAGCCGACGTCTTCCAAATGTACAGGACGAACTATCAGATTACTCGTTAGCTTGGAAGTTTGGGATGTTGGGAAGCATAGCGACAAGCGTCCATCAAGAGCCTGTAAGTAAAGTGATCATGATATTCAAGTCAGCTCAGCATCCCGAGCCATGCGAAGCGCTTTTCGGCAACACTGCCCCTGCTTGATCGCATGTACAAACGGAGAGTCGGTCTTCATGACAAGTGCCGGTAGCCGGTAGCTGGCATCGAAGGATTCTGACTCTGCGTCTTCCCGGGTTCTTGAATATCCAAACTTACTGTAGCCGCGTCCTCGCAGGCGAATCTTCGACGCTCGTGGGATAACTCAGAGGCGCCAAGGCCGTCTACGACTCAGAGGGCAAGTGGCTTCCAGTTCTTAGCTGCAGTGGAAGGGCGATGACCTTTAGATTGCAGAGGGCAGCTGGTTATCGACTATCCTCCGACCATCCAAGCACCTCTCCCTGCGGACAAATAGGGTTCACCCCCCCCCTGCACGGAACGAGACTGACCAGGACAAGCTCTGCGTGAAAGCACTGCAGACATGCTCAGGTGTGGTCACATGCGCTCGGACCCAGGCAAGTGCTGCTTCACCTACTTTTCGGACCACACTCGATCAAGCTTCACGGAGGCGCCAGTTGTCTGAGCTCCCCACGTGGTGCTGCAGCACTTGCTTCACTGCTGCGCGAGACTGGGAAGCATCACAGGTTGCTGTTGGAATCTGCATTTGGGCCTTCGTTCTGTTGAAATGGTTGGCTCCTTAAGAGCATGGCTTCAATGGACCATGAAGAGCTCGTGATAGGTATTGTGTTATCGCCGTCGTTCGACAGCAATTGCTCGTGTCAGTGGAGATGAATCTGGTAAAATTCCTCCTTTTATAACGATTAACACAAAAGGTGCATTCTTCCGTTTTTGAAAGCATCGGACACATGCCAGCAGCTTCCAAGGAGCGTGACGACCTGCAGCAGCGGTTGCAGGACCGGCCCTTGTCTCTCTTTGTGTCTGCGCGTGTCAGTGTATGCGTGTGTGATTTCTCTTTACCTTCGCAGGGGGCAGCAGGGAGTCCACAGTTCTGCTGTCAATGGTAATTACGCCGCAGCAGATTGGGACGCCAATTTGTGTACCTGATTCTTTACCTAAGTGAGCAGCTGGAATGCGATGGGCATGTAACTAACCTCTAGCTGCTCCTGAGAGAGAGTGTCCAAGTGTGTTCCCGACCGGCATTCTGTCAAAGAGCTGGACGTAGAAACTTGATCTAACGAGGATCACTTTTGTCTGCAAAAACTTGCATTCGATCTTCCTGATGACTGCTCCAACTTTTCTTGGTTCACTGTTGCTTGCAAGCCAGCTTTGCATCAGCAAGTCTTCTTCTGCTTTCACAACTTTCGCGGGCATCATGACGGGCTGCGGCTTGGACCTGCGAGCCGTCATGGTGGGCCCCAGACGACGACAGGAGGACGGGACCCAAGCCTCAAAATGCGGGTCGGGACCCTTCTTACGCCGGGACGACCACACGACAGGAGGACGGGACCCACGCCTCAACAGGCGGGGCGGGACCCTTCCCCCGGGCGGCGAGACAATCTCCGAGCATCACGACGGGCTGCGGCTTTGACCTGCGATTCGTCATCATCGTCCTAAAAAGGCATCATCATGGGGCTGTGGCGTTGACCTGCGAACCATTATGACGACCCCTAGGCCCTAGTTGTTGTAACATTCACTCTTGCAGCTACTCCTTAGCAGGAGCATCTGTGGTGAAGCAGATTGGGACGCCAATCTGTGTACTGGCATTTTTGTTTGAGTGTGCAGCGGGAAGGCGATAGGCATGTAACCAACCTTTGGCTGATCCTGCGATGGAGTGTCCAAGTGTTTGTGTGTGTGTATTCATGCACAAATGTGTATGTGATTGTGTGTGTGTGAGTGGTTGTGTCTGTTTGTCAATCTGTGTCTCCGGATGTCCATCTGTTCGTTTTTACACGAAGCCCGGCAAAACTGCGGCCACATTGTGGAAACTACAGTGTAACTGCAGTAGTTCCCACGCTTGTCCATGACTCCGTGTACCCAGTGCAAAACAAAGCAGGTCACGGAGCTTGCGCGGTGTGCTGCTAGGGCCTCGTGATGGCACTCTTCTACCGAGTTCCCAATCAAAGCATAGGACTTGCAAAAGCAAATATGTAGCAAAGGATGTCGGGGGAACTTGCCGGCTGTCTCCATGTCCGGACATGCCCTCCAAGGCCCAGCAGCGCCGAGCCACCGCAGAGGCTCGGGAGAAAGCCTGCCTGCATCCCTAAGCACGAGGTGGAGTTGGATTTCCCAAAAACGGGGAAGTCATAATCAGAATAGGGTTTTGAGGGTTTCTTATTATAAATATAGTATAATATACTACCCCCCCAAACCTTATTCCAATTAATTAGTAAGGCCGCCCTGCGCCGTTGTACGGAAGACTTGGTGCCGGCCTCGGCTGCCCCGACCAGCATCGGAAACTTCTGCGTCTCACTTCCTCACTTCCCAGGAGTGGCAGCGCAAGCGCATCGCTGCACAAGAAGCTGGAGAAGATCAGCCTTTCGGCCGGGGGGGGGGGAAGCAAAGAAAACATGTGGGGTTCTAGTGAGTGGTGTCCGTGCTGCAGCGTGGCCTGAAGGGTCGGAGACAGTTCTTGCATTTCGGAAGGCGAAGCCGAGCTGCTTCGAAAACAACTTCGAGAGGCCACAGCTTTGCGCTTCGCGATGGTTTGTGCAAGCATGCTCATGATGGGAGCCCGAGACTTTCATTGCAAGTCAGGCCCAGGACAAGATTGCAGAGCTTGATGTTATCCTCTCTGCCAGGACACTTGGTGGCATGTTTCTGGCATGGACGGAGACACGTTTCTCAGAGCATGCATTGAGCCTCGAGGAGTGAGCGAGTACGTGCGAACGAGCGGGATTATGCAGAGGCCCAAGGCTGTCTGCTCTCACTAGTCACTAGTCTGCTGAGATGGCATCATTCGAGGTTCGTTGGCTTGCTCCGGCATTAGCTGCATTAGCTATTGGCTCTTTGATCAAATCGGCTCCCGAAGCCAGCTTTGGCAGGACTCGGGGTAAGGGTGTTACAGCAAGTCGGAGGATGCATTCGAAGGAACACTGCAACATGTAGCGATTGCATGTTGGAAAGTGCAAGTTTTCAGTTCAGTTTCCCATCGAGTTTCAACTGTTTCATGGGGTCAGTGAAAAATAGTACCGACTTGGCTGCTCGGCCTCAATAGCCGGTTCGGTAAACATGTCTAGTTGTTAGAGGTTCCTCGTGAGCAGTGGAAGCACTCCACTGCTTCATTTACTCTGCTAGGGATATTTCTCTATTGTTATGATTACGATGATGATTGTTAGTGGTATTTGTTTAACATATGCTTATTTTTACTTGCCAGACCGAGTTAAGGCCGAAGCGCGGGTGGAGTTTGACGCCCTCTCCGTTGCCAATGATGCACTGACCTCGGCTTGAACGCATGCGTGATGCGAAGCCGTCCTGACATGAGACGCATCTCAAAGCTTTGGTAATCCACCTTCGGTGCTCAGACAGCTGTGATGTTCGTACTGTTGCCCCGGCCGACGCCAACTTCGTTCATTGCGAGAGCTGCGCAACGGTCGCATCTCTGCAGGCAATACAGAAAGAGCTCGAGGCCACTCGCAGCCGTGTCTTGGATAATTCGATCTGATCTGATAAGCTGCTGATAGAGTCTTCGATCACGACCCCTGCCCCAACTTATCCTGACTTATTGCCATCTTATGCATGAGATGATGCCACGTAGCCGTGACCTCCGGTCACCCACCGAAGCAGACCTGGTTGCAACTGCTCCCGGGTCCCAGGCATCGCCTCGGAGCAGCAAGGCCGGAGCAGCTTCGAAGCCGCGGCACGAAAACGGAGCACTGCTTTGTACACAGCTACAACCCTTCGTTACGCAACACTGGTGTCCAACCTTACATGCAAAGTAAAGTGCAGGATGTGTCTGGGAAGCATCAACTTCTCAGCAAGCTTATGGGGGATCAAGTGGCATCGAGCTTACACAGGCACTTCGCAGTAGTACATTCCCTTTCTGGATGCAAAAAACACGTGAGTCGCAAGCAGGCGAGAAGGAGACGAAGCTTAGCCTCAGACTTCGCAAATAGTGGCGCCAACCGAACTTGCACCAACACGGCCCAAGCCACACTGCACAACAAGTCTTACGCGCCGTGAAAAGGGGAACACTTTTTTCTAGAGACTCTGGAGGCCCGGAAGCCCGGACCCCAAGGCTCTGAACTCGGTTTGTCAAAGGCATTCTGAACTGCGAAAGCGGGAAGGTTCCAAAAAGAACGACGCCCCCAGAGCCTTTCTTTGCTCTTCGGGAAGGCTGCCAGGCAGCAGAGTCGGAGCTCTCCGAGTTCCAGGCAGCTGAAGCACAACAATGGGGGGGGGGTCCATTCAAGGTGCCTTGAGGGTAGGGGTTTGGGCTTGCAGATTGTGGTTGGGGCTTATGGGTGCAGTACTTCAGAAAGCCCAACATCCACAAGTAGGAAGACAACACATGCCAAGTTCGTGCAGAGGGCGGCGGCGGGTTCAGCGTTTCCTGTCCAGGCGCGGATGCGTGCTGAGGAAGTGGCCCGAAGCTGAAGATTTGTGTGACAGTGACAACTTCAGCTCATGCCTGGGTTTTGTGCGTACCACGAGAAGCAACGGGACAAAAGAAGTACAGCTAAGACTAGTGAGTAGAGATACAGTCTGCTTCCTCGCGAGTCGCGACCAGCGTCGTCCGGCCGCCCTTGTAGCCCATGCGCCGTTACTCTCCCGTGCATCACATTGCTAGCGGTACACGGGATTGCCGTAAAACAGCTTCGCTCGCCGGCACCGGCACTGCATACCCTGAAACCTGAAAGGGGTACTTTGTTAGGCATCATTGCTTGTTAGAGTCATCGCACAAAGATCAGCAGAACAACATTTACTAAGGCGACGACGAGTCACTGCTGTACCACCACCGCCAACACCACCACTACCACCACTTCTACTTCTACTTCCCCTGCTCGTCAACGGAGGAGCTGTAGATAGATACAGTGCCTACAGCTCTCGTAAACAAATAGCACTGCAGTCTATTCAGGACTTTGCCCGTTCTACCGGCCCCGGAGTTCACAAAGCACTACCCGCGGGGCGGCGAACCGTGGGCTCCTCTCATACACAACACAAAGGCGTGACCAAAGGCAGGCCAGCCGAGTCAGGAGGGTTCACCCTGCCACCACGTTGAAGTGGTGGAGTGCTGGACCGCCTCTTGCAGGGCAATCAACTCATTCACAAAAGCATCCGAAGAATCTAGCGGCCAATGCGTGTGGATGCTGTATCATAGCACTTAGCCTACACCCGAAAGCTTGTTTTCAACTTACAGGGATGGTCTTGTCGCCCTTCCGCAATCGCAGCAGCAGCAACACCTCCTGGTTCATGTCCCGTGAAGTGACGACACTGGAAACAGACCGTCGAAGAGTCCACCGTGATCGTTCGCTAGTGTGCATGATGCCAATTCGAGGCCGCTGGGTGTTTGGACTGAGAGCGAATGCTTGGCTGAGGAGTTTGCGGCAGAGGTGGAGACGCTGGGTTCGCGCCGTCCGGGCCTGAGGCTGTTTCGGCTGCGCATCTGCGTTCCTGGCCCGATGTGAAGAAGTGTTGCCAGAGCTTCCGAATCGTAGTTTTAGCAGCGCTTTCACGCGACGGGCAATCGGTCAAGTTTCTGGTCTCCTAGACCTCGAAGGCTAAGCTTAGCCCTGCAATGCATTGCATTCTGAGGCAGCAGCTTGGAGACATCGCTGCGGGAGTCTTCTGCAAATTTGGCGGACATGGAAGCCGTCGCTTCCTTGGTTGTGAGAGTGGAGTGTCAGGGAGCTGACTCCTTGCGTGTGCGATAAGCCTTTCTTTGAGGAAGTTTCTGCTGCCCGTGCTCAAAGTTTGGGCCTGCGCGCACAGTTGGAGGCCATGATCTTGTTGAGATCCTCTGCTGAGGTAGACGGCAGCGCTGTGAATGGGTTTCACTCAGGCTTGTGACTGTGCACAGCATGACGTCGTGTCAGGTGCTACAAGCTGCACGAGATGAGATTGTGTCACAAGAGCATCAGGCTGGCTCTCACCAAGCTTGTTATGCCTAGTTTATGCCTAGAGCACAGAGAGATGATGGCAGGCGACTGTCCAGCAGCGGGCAGAGGCGCTCCGGAAATACTAGATGCTTGTTCACCGGGGGGAAGTGCGGCACGGTGCAACTCATTTAATTGCATGTCACAGAAGCTACTGATCGTCGAGTTGGCAGCAAATCATTCGTGGAGAGGTCAACATGGTTGCTTGCAGCGCTGAGTCAGTCGACACTGTGCTTGCCACAATCGCGCAGCCTTCATGATGCTCAAAGTCGCTTACCATAACGTGTAGACAGTCTTTGGAATCTTTCAGGCCGGACACGCGGCATTGCTTGGTCGGTTAAGTGCTTGAGACTGTGATGTTGATCATTTCCGCCAACCCCTTGGACATGTACCGCGCTTTTCGATTCCCCAGCCTTGTCAATAGATTGGCACTCAGCAATGCGTTTGCAAGGAGACCTTGCAAAGCATGGCCTTCTCTCGACGGTCTCTGCCTCGGACTGCAAGTTGCAAAACGCGTGCTCATGGAAAGTGCGGCTGCCCACTGAAAGCGCAGTCTTTGCACGCCCTGCCTTAGGACTTGGCTGACCCTTTGCAGTCTGACCTTCGCGCAGGGAGTGGAGAACGCAACTTGTGGTGCCGATGGCAGCTGAGCTGCACGATGAAGCTCCGAAGTGGCGATGCTGTCACGGCCAAATCTTCCAAGCTGAGAAGGCTCCTGCGATCCAAATTCCTTGCTGCAGACAGTGCACAAGGGGCGGCATCTCTCCAAGGCTCGCCTGGCGTGAGAAGCCATAAAGTCTCCATGTGCGAAGTGCTTACCGCAGTCGCCGTGCCTGTTTCTCAGGACTGTGAGGTCGGTGCCCACGCCTCTTGGCCGTACGGCAGCTGTGATCTCTCTGAAAATGCCGGAGGTGGGAGGTCCTTTGCAACTCAGGTCACTTGCCCAGGTAGCGATGTCAGCTGCGTCGCTTCGCTGGCACGGAAGTAAAGTGTCAAACTGCAATGCAGTCACAAGACAGACAGAGACAGAGACAGA